GCTTCAAAATACACATCTCAGTATGAATATAACTTTCCTGACCTGCATTTCATGTATAATAGCAGAGGAGATATAATTTTTGAGGGGTCTAGGGCGGAGCCCTAAGAAATATCGCGGAGAAATACATGAATATTGAACCCTATGTTAGAAACTGTCTATCCAGACGTCCCCATCAGTTAAAGCAGATGAAGAAGTGCGCGTAAACTTCATCAGTTCAAGAAATCACGCTTCATAAAACGAGCTAAAGGTTGGATGTAAAGTCCTCAAAAACTAGTAAAATATCACTGTAGCATTTCCAATTATCATGGTACAGATGGTTGATAAAGTAATCTAAAATGCCCTGTTACTTCTTGCCAAGCACCATCTCATAAACTTCTAAAAAGTTTGAATTCGGCATGCGGTCAATAAATTCTTCGTCTTTGCATCCACCGCGGCAAAACGAGACTGCACTCAAAACCGTGACTTTTGGATGGCTAATCAAAGAAGAATCAAAGAACATTGTCTTTTGTTACGACAACAAATTCTTCATATGATTGATGCGTGACATTGAAGGATTAGAACTGCCTTTTCGCATGAAGCTAGCTAAATAGTAATTACATGAGTTTTTTGAAGTTTACCTGCATGTCAAAACGTAATCATTCTGTCTAATAACAAACACGCTTCTGTCACATAATCCATGAAAGAAGTTTGTAGCATGAAGTTGAAGTTTGTAGCACATATATGCTATATAGAAAGGAAGAGCAGAATATCTGGCAATGACGTCAATCATTTAAGCAAAGAATTCTCTAAATGTTGCAACAACAGGAAAAAGCCTGTAGTTTACGAGAATCGAGTGCACATTTTAGAAAATAAAGACTTGGTATGTGCATGAGTGCACTATGAATGCTTAATAACATCCTACACGACTGATAGGCTACAATTCATCACTCAAACTCATCCAAACCTTTTGACGAGGACCACTGAAAAATGATACGCATAATTAGAGACATTTTGGGACACTTTCTAGAGAAGAAACGGTAAATACATGCCAAACAAAACTGTTACGATGCGCCGTTGCACACAAAGAACACCTTTTTGCACTGCTTGGGCAAAAATGCTCCCAAGCACAGCTTTTGTTATCAGTAAGGGGAGGTAGGAATCGCTAGTGGTACAAAAGATTACGGTGTTGTTGAATACTCCATCCACATTTCGATAAACTGGTGATTTCGCGAGTCCAGTTATATGATACTTGCAGTATGCAGAGGGGGTAGAGGACTATATATCGCCGGAAGAAGGTGGCCCCAAGCGGACATCTGCGACGACCACGCAGCCATGCATGTCACAGACACTGCGGATTTGTACCAGCAGTCCGCAATGGTTGGAGCCTATCGACGACATATAGTCCCCTACCCTGCAGAGGGGAAAAACGGTGCGAACAGTTGCATACTGCAAACTCCATGTAACTATGCTCATCGCCACGCCCTCCCCGTACCTATTCTCTGACGAAACTTTTACAACGGCAGCGGATGAAGAAATGGGCAATATGTTCATCAGAACGACTTGGGAAACATTGGGGGGGGGGGATATTGGAGCAAGTTTCTCTCACCGCTAAAGTTTGTACTCCGACGCACGCCTCGCTTACCAGCGCACCCGCTATCGTCCAGAACTAACGATGCTTCATGCTATTTCGTCAAAATTCTTGACCGTGAGGTACAAATATGATCTAACAGATACAATGCCTTTTTCATGCCGTACAGGTATTATGACAATTTATTTGCCTTACATTTCGGCAACACGTCATCGTCGGAGCCTAAAAAGAGTCATTTTGATCTAATAATAAGTCCTCTCCGAGTTCGAATGGCTTTGTAGCTATAAAGCAGCTTTGTGGTAGAAAGCTTGGGAGCAGAAATTTACCCACTGTATGTGTCATCTGTAGTAGCGTGACTGTCAGGAATTTACTTAATCAAATGCGAGTCAGAAATGAGCAGTGTCTATACGAGACTGCTTGCATTGTGCAGACAGGTACAGATTGAGAATGACAGATAAGGCATTAGATCACCTGCTGTTGCGTTTTGGATCAGGTGAGCATGAGGCATGCCTCCAATACCTTTCGCAGATATTTGCGGCTCATGAGATTTGTGCCGTAATTAACACCGTTATGCTCTTCTCTTCTATCTTATATATAAAGCTGAATGTCTGTTTGTCTGTCTGTCTGTCTGTCTGTATGTCTGTCTGTACGTATGTTCCGAATAGATTCCATTTCTGAACCGATCGGGACCAAACTTGGCACACATACACTTTGGGCCCCGGCGGGTGTCATAGGCTACTTTTCGTCATCGATCGATATCGATTTGATCGATTTTTTGCAAAATTTGAGCTACGGGGCTGGGAGTTGGCACAGGGGGGGGGGTAATTGAGCATGCTGATCACCCCCGTGGGGGTGATCAGCATGCTCGAGGATATACTACGATATACTACGACCCCCCTGCCATGAGGATATACTACGCAGTCTCGCAAGGTACAAGCTACATCATGAAGCCTTATGCAGACCTTCTGTTTTTCACGTTGTTCCACAGATTAATCACTTAGATAATAATGTCATCTGGCTTTGCTTTTACTAAGATTTGCTTTATAGCGATAGTAACACTCAGAAATAAAGGGCAAGCACAGAGGTACTTTGTGCACGCTGTATTTACTGCCAGCCTTCGCCATTACCGTTGCAGATGTTCGCTGCCGTTTCGAACATTTTGTGAATAACGGCACATTTGAAATAGTTATCTTATCTTGCCTTGCCGCTACAGGTTATCCTTGAAGGAAGTGTTCGGACAATCTCAAAAGCACTTCAGTTTCAACAGATTACTACTGGAGCAAATTTCTTGCTCCAGAAGCAATAATTAGAAGTTGCAACTGGGCTATGGCTTCGAACATGGACACCATGTCGTGGCGGTATATTCTGCTGCAGCCAATGTAAGGCATCTTAATGGCTGCTCCTGGCACGATCTCCTGATTTAGAAGCGAGACACAATCGGCTATGTTCGAACTCCTAAAGCAATTTTCTCGCTCCAGAAGCAATCTGCAGTCGCACAGACCGTGGCTTGCCTGGGGAGCTCCGGTAATCTTTTGGAACTGAGATACTTTCAAAGTCTACCTTAGAAGCCCACGTGTTCCCATTATTCACTCTACATACTGTTGAACTTTTTAGCATTATCGCTTTCATTGTATTTTATTGACTAAGTAGTGGTAAACAGCAGGTACCAGCAGGTACTTAGATAATGATAAACAGCGTACCCAGAATTTCCTACTGGGAGGGGGGGGGGACAGATTTTTTTGAAGTGATGGTGCGTGGCGGTAGCCCCGCTTTGAGAATTTACAGGGCTACTTGAATTTTTGGAATTTTAAAGAATTTTTTCAATTATTTACAAGTATAAACAAGTCACACATTTTTATAATCCATGCAAAGCACAGCTCCAGAGTTCCGCGAGTCATGCTCTCCATCCCCCCCCCCTGTTATGCCATAGGTAAACATAAACAAGTATTCGGTAGATAACTGCCTCCAGACAATTTTATAGCGCGACTTAACTCAGTGTCAAAGCAATTTGGTGCTAATCATGCTATAATCGTTCAGCGATACAAGCAATGACTCTCAAGGCAGTAATAGAAATAAGCTACGAATCTACATGACTAGCTGCGAAAAAACGACATGTTCTTTACACTTACCATTTTCGCATAGAGTCTTCAAACCATTTCCATAGAAATGACACTCGGTATTGCTCAAAAGATTGAAGTCAAAGTATATCACGTTTTAAGGAGTGAAGATAGGCTCACAAATGGAATGTACAACGCCTAAGGGGTATTTAATCCCCTTCAGACAGTTGACATCTAAATGGGTACGGAAGTGTGGAAACCGATTCGGAGGCTCAAGAAACTACTGGGAAAATCAGGATCTTAACTGGTAATATGCGTAATCCGATAGAAAGCTTACCAGCGCATTTGGAACATTATTTTATGCAGATCTACACAAGTCTCATTTCAATTCTTGGTATCGTAAAGCTATCGCCTTGACAATTATCCACAGTAGCCTATGATTTTTTTTGCAAAGCCCAGAACAACACCTTATTTACAACCTCGAAAGCACGTCACTTATGATGGAGGAGAAAACAGCTTTGGCTACCACTTAACCTCTGCTAATCTATAATCAAAGTATTAAGCTTCACAATATAGTCCCTAACTTACAATAAAGCCTAACTCCATTCCTCCACCTGGGAATGTATCACTTACTACATGAGTATCAAATTTTTGATTTGATTTTTTGGAAACTTCAAAATAATTTTTTGAATCAGCTTTAACAAAAGAACTTCGCTACCGCCAAGCGCACCTTTCCTGGAAATATTTGCAAGCTTGTTAGAAAATTTTTCTTGAAAATAACTGCAAGCTTGTTAGAAATTTGTGAAGAACCCTAAAGGAGGGGCGCGATAGGCGCTGACCACCCGGAGAAGTCCAGGAAAATCCTTTCCCTCCCCAAAAAATCCTGAAATCTCGCTACTGATATGTTGAATAACGGCAGCCAGCGCGAAATTTTCTCAATTTTGTGGCATTTTGAGACAAGCAACCAAGAATATTCATGTTAAAAACTTCAAATTCTAGCTGCTTGTTTGTGGAACAAACTCATTCACAAACAGTACAACCATTCTTAGCCATTTTCCTTGTATGAAGACCATTCTAGCGCTTTGCCAGACAACACTTTACAGCTAAAGATTTATGTGACATCAAAGAGAAAATAATGATGGTACAAATGCTTTCAGTATTTACAGAAAAATTCAGAAACTGCGTAGCTTGAGTGAACAAATCAAGGTAGCTGGTATAAGCGTAAGTGATATAAGACGTGAGCGTTGACAAATGTGACAGATATGCATGCGACTGGAATGTGTAATTTTAAAAAACTCAAAAACAAGAAAAAACCGAAGAAAACAGAGATACGCTCATGCAAAATTTTCAGAGAAAATGAAGGATAAATGATTTTTGTGTTTATCAGCTTCGATATGATATAGAAGATGCAGATACAACTAATGCATTAGCAGGCCACCATAACGGTTCAGTAATATGAATGCACAGGTCTAAATGTGACAAAGGATAGATGGTACCGCGCCGCCACAGCGACCGCGATGATTTCGTTATCTGCGCTAACAAAGCAAAAGTATGTGTCTAAAGGTAGAAACAACTTAGGCATGATTGACTCGAGGTATGTTTACAAATTTGAGTTGTTAAAAAGCGAGGTATCAATTTTCTACATTTTCAGGGTCAGATTTGCTTCTTTCGTAGCGGCTTCCAGTTACGCTACCTTACTAAAAAAATGATGGGAGCAATCTCACATGATAGCAAATATCTCAAAAGTTATTCGTAATTTTGCGGAAAGCGTAGTATTCACACAAAAGATCAAGCGATGAAACAATTTTGTTAGCAAAATATATTCTATACCAACCTCTGATATATCCTCCAGACGAGCTTTCCTCTTTGCAGCTAATGTATCCGGCGATAAGAAAACGTTTTGCACCTCCAAAAGCGACTCCCTGGTTCGAGATCGGGATTTTTTTGGTGTCTAAGACAGTGAATTTCAAACGACCTCGGGAAAAAATTACATCAATGAACCTCTTCTTCGTATCCTTTCTCTTTCAGTATGGCCTCCTTTTTGGGTACAGTGGGAATCTGGTCATCTTCCGCTATGTTACGCCGTTTTTTCGCTGGAGTATCACCTAAAACAGATTATAGGCATTTGTGCAGGACAGCAAAAAAGTTTCTGTTCATGCTATTAATAAGAAGGAAGAAAGCATGCCTAAATTTTGCTCTTATCAATAGTACTGCTAGGATAAATAGACCGATATATAGTCTTTGCGTTCAAGGCAGAACAAAAGTAAAACGGGACACAAGGCTTCCTGCTTGGATACCGAGAAAAATTTGTAACCCTGGCAAAGGAGATGTTCCATACAACCCATTTGCGGACAACTGATTTTATGATAAATACTTGTCCACTACCGTACTCATTCCAAGGGGACCGATCCTCGAGTAAGTTGGGGGATTTCTGACTCCGAAAGGATTATGAGCGATAGCCCCCTTTGGATAAGGCTTACTCAAAGGCAGCGTCCAGCGAAATCTGAAGACGGGTTCCTCAAGTGGCTGATAGGAATGGGGAGAAATGGGGGGGGGGGGGGGAGGAGGGGGGGGGGGAAGACGGGGGATGGGCCTTTCCCAGGGGACACTATGTAAGGTTTATCGCCTAGACGATGTCTGAGTTAGAGCCTCATCTCCAGTAGAATATGCAAATACCTAAGCATTCATAGGCCACTACAATTATTCCATTCACATTTTTTGCAATGAAGTGCAATTTGTATATTTTGCCAGAAGAACAGCAAACAAAGCACAAGTATCGTCTCATGCACGGCAAAATAAACCGGCCCTACATACCTGACTTTTGTGGATGCAACCAGTGCTCCTCAACCATTTCAGCGAAGTCTTTGTTTATGACGCCTAGACGATCGCGCATATCTTGCACCAGGTCTGCTCACGTTTCGCCTAAAAAGTACAATTAAAATTAAAAATGATCTAACCCGGAATGAAAAATACCTGCTGCGTTCCATACTGTTCTTCATTCTTCTTCGTTTCATCCTTGATACCCTTCAGATCGACACAGAGTCGATCAACAGAATCCAGAACACTTCGCGCCTCTTCATAACCGGCTATATTAGTAGAGGTTAAGGTCTGCTCGAATTCCGTTGCGTTTTTCTGAAAAAAAAAGATCATTCGTAATGCGAAAACGCTAGAACATACACGGGCTCACCTTAAGAGACTCATTGATCTCAACCGTTGTGTCATGGGTGTCCTCTAATGCAGCGCATATCAAAGCGCTGAACGTAAAGGGTTAAAGTGGCAACAATGAGGAATAATTACGGAGTATAAAAACTGTACTTTCCTTCATGCGTGATTTGTAACGATGAAAGCGCTTCCAGCGCTATGTCTTCTTGCCCTTGATAATCGGATGACCACGTTTCAATTTGCGCTAGATGTTCTTGCAAATTCTCTTGGGCATCTGATTCCATGCTGAAAAATAAGAATTAAACTACCATGCTTACTCGCGAAATGTTTACTCAGCAGTGGCAGCGGATCGAAAAGGACCTTCCCCCTTTCCCCACCCCCCCCACCCCACCTCCTCAAAAATGGTCTGGAAGTCTTTGAAAGTGGTCTACACTAATGATGATATTGTGCATGTACCTTAGCTTTACGAGAACAAGACACACTCTTTGCTTCGATAAATGCGAGCAGCTTTGCTGTATCTCGCGAAAGGGTTGCGGTTCCGCTAAATTGTCTCGTGATCACCCAGCTAATACTGCTTTTGTGCTTTCGTCTGGCAGTGCATTCGAAAGTATTCTGCATGGGACTTAGTTTTTACCAAAAATAGTTGATGATCATTTTTTGAAATTGTAAAGTCCCAAATCCAGGCACTGTAGCGTCAAATCAAGAAGCACCCCGACATTTTTTTCAGAGGGCGCGGCTAAGAACCCCAAAAATGTCCCCCCCCCCCCCCTAAAAAAACCTTCCTGGGTAGCCAAAGACTCAGATGCCGTCATAAATACAGTTCTAGGACTTGTTTGGAGCATGAAAACAACATAAAACAAGAAAGCTTACTCACTTATCTGTGGTCTCCATAACAGCCGACTCGTGTTCACTACACTTCTCGATAATCGCCCGCGCCAAAGCGTTAATCTAGAAGAAGAGTTGAAAGCCAATCATACGTTAAACATGAAAGTAGACCTCAGAAGTTTTCTCTCGTTGCACTCGCAGTGCATTTATAGCATTGAGCCGTTTGCATCGATCTTCTTCTATGATTTTTCGCCTTTGCTCAATCTGAAATTGGGAATGTTTATAGCCTTCGTAAGAAAAGATCTGGTCAAAATAAAAGTTCTCTCCATGTGGAGCACAAAAAAAAACTAGAAATGTAACAAATCTGCAAAAAACTCTACCATAAATTCAGAACTATTCCTCATTTCTCTGAAAACTTCTGAAAGGCTTTTCGCCTCCCTCATCATGTTTTCAAAGTAAAGTAGAACCAATAAAATAATAATACCAATACCAATATATATTATTATTATTATTATTATTATTATTATAAATAATAATATAATAATATATTATAATAATAATATATAATAATAATAAATTATAATATATATAATATAATAAATATATATAATATAATAATAATAATATATATATATAATAATATTATAATATTTATAATATAATATTTTATATTTATAATATATATATATTATAATATAGATATTATTATTTATTATATATAATTATAATAATAATAATAATAATAATAATAATAATAATAATAATAATAATAATAATAATAATAATAATAATAATAATAATAATAATAATAATAATAATAATAATAATATTATTATTATTATTATTATTATTATTATTATTATTATTATTATTATTATTATTATTATTATTATTATAATTATTATTATTATTATTATTATTATTATATATTATTATTATTATTATTATTATTATTATACCAATATAATAATAATACCACAGAAGTAGCTACAATATAAAGTAGAACCGTTTTTGCCAAAGCCTGGAGTCCAAGTACTTGAGATGTCTAAAACAAAGTAGAGCTCGGTTTCCAGATACGGAAGAAATTTTGACATACCATTTTCTCTTTCACATTCGACTCGGATTCATTCGATAAAGCAATAATCTGTTGAATGTATGTTTTTATAAGCTTCTCCGATTCTAGTAACCTTCGCTGTTGCAACTCGTCAGCCTTGCTTACGCAACTCTTACTATTCTCAAGGTGGTCGCTCATCTTTGAATCATTCCTTTCTGAGATATACAAGATTTTAATAAAAGAAATGTGCGAACAGATTTTTCAGTGTTCGAGAAAAATTGTCAAGAAAGGTATTTCAAAATTGTCAAGAAAGGTATTTCCAAAAAACAGTTTGGAAAGAAGAAAGACAATGTGGGGGGGGGGCCGCTAACATCGGCATCAACTGTTTACATATTGAACACTTTTAGATAAGCTAAATCAAATAATATTACCTCTTTCTTCGCTGTAACGATCACGGTTTTCCTTGCACGCCTTCAAATATGCCGTCAGCAGTGCACAGCAGTCCATCACCTCAGGTTTCAACTGGAACCATAGAATCAAATTTAGAACATGCTCTAGTCAAACTCGTACCTTTCCATGGATCGCTTCAACGAGTTCTCGGTTTTGCGAGATCAGCTCCAGCAGAGATTCTTCCTTTTTCCACCAATCCTGGATCTCCAGCTGTTGATCATAGACGACTTCGCGAGTCTGCAAGGAACAGTGACATTTGTCATCAATTTATTGAAAAAGTGCACCCTACCATTTTCAGCTCCTTAGATAAGTTTTCGGCAACTTTGTGCATATCTTCCAAAGCGTCTTTGCGTGCAGTGAATCGATCAATGGTAACAGCCACGTTCTGCAAGAAAAATGTCATGAACTCATTATGGAAAGAAATCCATGAGTTTTTTACCGTTTTGACATCATCAAGCTCATCGACTCGTTGGCGAAGCTTCATTTCCAACCGCTTTTTACGATAGTATAGCTCCCGGTATCGCTCATCCATTATGTCTTGGTCTTCAGTGAACTGTAAAATAAAAAATCGAGTAACGGGTCAAAGTAGACAAAGGTAAACCAAAGAGTCACTTTTTGTAGTTTTCCTGTAGCAGCATCAAGTTGGCCTTCAATTTTTTTTAGCTGCTCGGACTTCGTAGCGATGTCCTTCTCCATGCCCCTGCAATAATGGCGTCTAATTCAAAAGTTTGTTCCTTAAGAACAGAACTTACTCGTAGCTTTCCTGGCTGAGGAATATTCCGTTCTTCTCACGAGCCGTCCGCAAGTCGCGCCTCAGCCTCTCGATCTCTTCATTGTATTCCTGAAATTAAAAGCACTAGAGGACTTTTGCTCTCTTTGGTTTCTCTCAAATTACCTTAAGTAGGTCTTTTCTGGAGACCTTTTTATTGCACTTTGGATGGTCTTTAATGGACTTCCCCCAGGCAGCGAACTCAAGCGTGGAGATGGTCTCCTGCAAATAGTTACTTTTGAAAAAAGGCAATGAAAATGATAGCAGTAGTAGACCTCGTAATTCGTGGAAGCAGGAGAGATGGTAGCGATAATCGACGTGATTGTACCACCACCCAAACTGTCCTGCAGCAGACGAGTAAGTTTCGACTCCCTGCAACATGAACATAGATTATTCAAAGGAAGTTGAGAAGAACCAAAAATGATAATAACCTGTAAGGTACGTGTGTAGCTGCCTTCGCTAGTGCTACAATCACTCTGCCTAATGTAAGTAACGATTGGTTTATATTTCCTGTAAGGGTAATTCCCCAATCCACTCTGAGATCATGTACTGCTTACCTGCTTCTTTGGCTCGTTTGCCGTCACTGCCCGATCTGCCTATGTGCTCTGATCCAGCAAGGTCCACGAGGTTCAATTTTCCCTTCAAAAAAGACTAGTTATGACCTCATTTTTCTAGAAATCCAATTTGCATAATTTTCAGGTTTTGCTAAGCATGCTATAAAAATCCCGAGCTGAAAAATTTCATACCTGTATCACCAATTCCTCACCGCTTGGTGTGTTTTCCCTAGTAACAACGCTGACGGTGAATATTGAATGAGATCGGCTATAAATGAAATTTGAACAGGCAACAAAGTCGTTTTATCACAAAAGGGAGACTGTAAGAAAATAAAGATGGTAAATAACACCGACTCACCTAGAGTTTAGGTTCATGGGGGTGGCTGTAGTCGTTCGTTTCTTTGCTCCTCTCTTCAAGAGACGGCAGACTTCGGCGCGATCTCTTACAGGAATTTCTTCAGCGCCCGATATCACAATGAGGACAGCCATAAGTGGACAGAGCAGAATCTGCAACGACAACTTAAAAATAGCAGCCTAAACAACAACAACGCCCTCAAAATAGCATTACGCTAGTTTGAAAAAAGGAACGATGCCAGAACCTGACCTTTTTGGATGGATCATCATAGATCCTTAGTCGTTCTCGATCATCCGATGTGGGGGCTAGTAGATCATAAAGTTCTTCGTTATAGAGTTCAAGGTAGCTAATTTGAACACTGTACTCTCCTGTGCTCTAAAAAGTTCTTTCTACACTCTAACTCAAAACGTAACTCATTATCAACCATGAAAATGTTTATAAGGTGAATTTTAACCATGATATTCCAACAAAAAGGTTTGCAAGCTACACATTGGCTATTGAGTAGATATTAGAAACTCACCGATTTTGCTAATTCCTCAAATATATGCTCGACTGCTCTTGGGATGATACCAGTTGTTGGATCTTCTTGATAAGAGTCGTACTTTCCCGAGCCCCCTTCCATCGCATAAGTTTTGCCAGTTCCAGTCTGTCCATATCTGCAGCAACTCTCTTTATGACAAAGAACTAAGAAGTCGAATTGTCCCAACTCACGCAAATAGCGTGCAATTGTAGCCAGCTAGCACACGCTCAACTTGGGAAGAAACCATATCGGCATATATACACTCTTGGGGTGCATTGGGACCATAGACCTGAATAAAATCCATAAAAAATAGATGTGATACCATGTAGATCTATATCAGCATGATTGAGTATTAAGCATAAAATCGTTTGTAACTAATGATCAACACAAAAGGAAAAAACACTTCAAAACAACTTCGTCGTTATGACCATTTCATTGCGACCGAGAAAGCGACCTATGAGGTAGGCGCAAGATGACTGGACCATTTATGAAGCAGCTAAGCAGCTAACCTGCAAAGTTTGGGCCCTGCCCAAACTCTAACCTTCACCGTTACTTTCCATCGTAAACAAGAACGCTATTTAGACCACAAAGTTATGGCTGGGCCAGAGTTTGAAATTGAGATTTTCAGCCACAAATAAAAAATATAGGTTGCCAATACGCATGGCTAAGGCTCCTAGTCAACCACAGAACTTCGCATATTTTAATTTACCTAGACATCCTCATCTCACGATAGTACACGTCCTTCAATTACCAGGGGAAAAATGTCGCAACTTGGCCGATTGAACAGACATAGAATCCGTGCAAAATACACCAGTTGCCAAAATAGTCTACCCACCAGTTTACCGAACACATTACCAAGCAGCACCAGGCATCAAGTGCGTACACGGACGGCATTCACCAGAAAACCATGCACGTCTCCATTGAGCGGCAGTGCAAAACTCTGCTTCGGTGGCTATGCTAAGAAACTGCGAGTTGTGCAGTGTGAACCTGTCAGACATGTAGAAAACCAAATGTTGCAAAGCATGAGCTTCAATAGTCGACTCCATTCGCCACATCCCTATAAGCATGTAGTGAATGGAACCGGATAAACTCACGTCCCTTTTGGCATATTTGATCTTCTACTCATTAGACTATGTTCACGTCCGGCGACGCGCCGCTGACTTCGGACAAGCCGAACGCTGCGCATTTCCGCCGCGCTCGATTAATGCACCGAACATATTAGGCTTAGAGACGACTAGAGGATCGACTTTTTTTGTGGATGAAAACCGATCCCCCGCCAACTGAACAGAGCCCTGGTGGGATACGTGACTCGCAAGTTGAATGAGTAAATAAATAGGCAAAAAGCGTGAGAAAAATAAAAAAAACCCCATCTTCAAAACAATAAGCAACCTCTTCATCACCAAAATGGAAAATAAACCTGATATTAATCCCTACCTTGTCGAATGACGAGAAGATCTTGTTTTTGCAGGTGACCGTAGGTTTCTTATCATCTAGATGATAAGAAGCCTACGGTCACCTGCAAAAACAAAATGCGACGATCGACTTGGTCCCTTACAGGATTATAAAAGTCAAACCGACATCGTTTTTGACTTAGGTGTCAAAAAATAAAAAGTGCGTAGTATCCGCAGTATACGGACTTTACATTCAATTTGACGCCTAATATCAGAAAAACGGGAATTTCTTGTTTCTGACCGTCTTTTCGAATCGGCTATATTATAGAAGCCAACAGGCATATGCTAAAACTGAGATTATAAAAAGTACTCCAAAGTGAAATTCAGTAATCACAATGAACCAATCACGGCCATATTTGGAATTTATTTGTTTTCGAGGTCCTTCTTTTCAGTAACAATGTCTGTTTGCTGAAAGCTGGAAGTGAGATTTCCAATGCTAGAAGTGAGACTTCAAGTGCTAGAAGTGAGATTTCAAAAAAAAATTCCAGGTTGAAGTTCAGGAATATTAGTGGACCAATCACGGCCAGAGAAAAGTATTCCAGGTTAAAGTTCAGGAATTTTAGTGGACCGGTCATGGCCAGAACTGGGATTTATACGTTTTTGATGTTGTTCTTTTTCTAGCTATGTTCAATTTCAGCAAAATTCAAGATGAAGGTTAGATAATGATCATGCCAAAATCATAAGTTCTTTTATTTCGATATTTGTGCACATAATATACGTACGACATCACTGACCTCGCTAACAGGTGCACAGCTTGTAGCCAACAAGACTGTAAATAAGGCCCGTATGCACGTACGTCCCCGCTGGGGAGGGGAGGGGAGCTGGATCCCCAGGGGAACGATCCCCTCCGCCGAACCCCGCCATGACAGAGGGGAGGGGAGCGATCCCCTCCCCTGCACCTAAGCGGGGATAGCGTGAATGGTTTCAGAGGTATTGATCGAGCGAACCCCAGTGCATACGGGGTTCGAATGGGGAGGGGATCCCTTCCCCTCCCCCCACTCGAACCCCGTATGCGCGAATTTGACTCAACAACGCGGGGGAGGGGATCGACATCCCCTACAACGGAGTAGGGGTTCGATGGTGTAGGTCAAGCCAGATGTCGTAGATTATTTGTGAATCTACGACCTTTACCATTGTAGAGTCATATTGTATGCTATATTCCGTATCCACTAGCTTGTCGTTGACAAACGTTACTGTTCACTAACCACTTAAGCCGCCAGGTCACCCCTCCATTGTGCTTGATAGTCTACTTGGCGGCGCCTACTTTCATGTAGGCAATCCTTGATTCTGTATGATACTGTTATTTGTCAGAAGTGAGCATTCAGGTTATCCACGCCCAAAATAGTGGCATAAAAGGGCCTGAATACTCAGTTCTGGTGTTGGTTCGATTATTACCACTATCGTCAGCGGCTGTTCCGCATATTCACTGTTAATAGTCAGCGGCTGCTCCGCTACTATCTAATAAACAGTTATACCCGTTGTGGTACCAGCTTGGTGTATACCAAATTGGTGCATCGGCCAACGGATCGTCTGTTCGGTGCTGCTCACCGAAATTCGATAAAAGTCCCGCGTGGCAGGCTACTAACAGCCGATTATTCGACTCTCGTGATTGCTGGTTCATCCACTTTCGCGACCAAGAGTCTTACTAAGCTGTCAGGTCCTATCCACAGCTTAGTAGAGGTTTCTAGCTAACTGACTGGTTCATCCACAGTTGGCGACAGACTCCTCGCACTCTAGGCTACTAATTAGCCAATATTCGACTCTAGTAATTGTTGGTTCATCCACTTTTACTAATACGAGTCTTGCTATCAGGTCCTATCCATAGCTTAGCAGAGGTTTTCTAACTAGCTGACTGGTTCATCCACAGTTAGTAAAAGAACTCCTCGAAGTTTTTTGGCTTCCAACAGCCAAAAAAGACTCTGTGATTGCTGGTTCATCCACTTTCACATACAAGAGTCAACTCGCTAAGCTATCAGGTCCTATCCATAGCTTAGCAGAGGTTTTGTAACTAGCTGACTGGTTCATCCACAGTTAGTAAAAGAACTCCTCGAATTTTTTTGGCTTCCAACAGCCAAAAAAGACTCTGTGATTGCTGGTTCATCCACTTTCACATACAAGAGTCAACTCGCTAAGCTATCAGGTCCTATCCATAGCTTAGCAGAGGTTTCTAACTAGCTGACTGGTTCATCCACAGTTAGTAAAGAAACTCCTCGATTTTTTTTGGCTTCCAACAGCCAAAAAAGACTCTGTGATTGCTGGTTCATCCACTTTCACATACAAGAGTCACTTTATTAAGCTGTCAGGTCCAATCCACAGCTTAGTAAAAAGGTCAAACTAGCGCCTGGTCCATCCACAGTTAGCAGACGACCCTTCCAAGCTCCTTGACGGTTGATCAACAACAGTCAAATCAAAAGCTTGCTGCTAGCTATCAGGTCAATCCATAGCTCAGCAAAAGAAGCTACTTCAAGCTCTTTAACCGCATTCAGTCCATGCGAACAAGACAAACTATGTCGATGTTAGCTGGATTCAAGACACGCATTTCAATGGCCTGCTCTTCGGTCAACAGCCTCGAAAGCAAGATCCTGAGTATAGACAAGGCATTTGAATTCCCTACTACAGCGGCTGAATGCAATGCCTTCATAGCCGACAAAATGGCAGAAATTGACGAAATACAGATTTCTCTCACGGGTCTGCTAGAAAACCTGGAAGTCCACGTACAAAATGCTATAAACTTCATCGGCGCCAGGAAGGACCAATCAGAGAGTGAAAAGTTGATGAATGAGCTGGACACCTTCTTAACCTCTGAGGCCAATCGCGTACAATTAGAAGCAATTCACTGGACAAACAAGTTGAAGTACCGAATGAGAGAGCTCAAGAAGCAATCAAGCTTGATAGACAACTTCACTTCTTCAACGGCCCAGACACCACCACAAGCTACGGATACAGCTAGTACTCTCTCCGCCAGACAATACAACGAGAACAAGATACGACTACCGCAGCTTGAAGTTCCCACTTTCGATGGCAGCTATAAGGAGTATCCAACTTTCTGGACAATATTCAACTCGCTGATCCATAGCAACCCGCAGCTCAGCAACGTGGACAAGTTCCTTTTCTTGAGGCAAGCATTAAAAGGAACAGCAGCTTCACTTCTTGGCAATATGCCAGTCATCGGAGAGAACTACGACAAAGCTATACTACTTCTCGATAAGCGCTTCAACAAGTCTGGATGCATAGCAGATCTGCTTATCACAGAGCTCGAAAGGCTTCCACGAGCAGAAGAAGACGCCCAAAGTTGTAGAAAAGCTCTGATTAGGGTGACGGAAAAGCTCACTCACATTGAATGTGCAGGAGTACCCTTGGACAACAACCGAATGTGGAGACGACTGATACTTTCGAAGTTTCCAGACTCGCTGAACGAGAACGTGCTTCGCGAAGAGCAGAGTGAAGGGAAATCATTCGCAACTGAGAAGATCCTGGACGTTCTTGAAAACGCTGTCGCTTTAAAGGAGACCCTCGCACTAACTACATCCATTCGGGGATTGCAACATCACGACACGCTCTGATTCCGATCAAGAAGTTGATGAGAGGCTGAACTACGAAGAAGACTCAATCGCATACACTTCCAAACATCGACAAGGAGTTACATCGCCGAGAGATTTGAGTGCTCAATGCATTTGCGGAAGTTATCAACATGACGCGACGCGATGCACAACATTCCAAACACCAGCGGAGCGACGTGATGAAGCCAGGAGACAAAGGCTGTGCTTCAGATGTCTTCAAACCGATCACAGGATTAGCGATTGCACCAGCTCACAGTCATGCTACAAGTGTCACGGAAAGCATCACACTGCCGTATGGGTAGCTATTCAGCATCTAGAGGCACCACAACCAGGAGATCACAGCAACGATCTGCTCGCGACCAACATCTCCCAAGAGACCCTGAATTGCACAAAATTCTGAAATTCTCCACAACAAGAGCACTAAGCGAGAAGGAGGAATGCAGCACGTACTGATGACGGCGACTGCATTCGCATACGACTACACATCGACCAGCTATAAGCCCGTGATTGTCTTCTTTGATGGAGGTGCACAAAAGAGCTTCATCAACACAAGGAAGACCCAAGCTCTTGGATTACCAGTGCTGCAAAACACCACTTTCAAGATTGGCGGCTTTGGAGGATCTACCGCAAATTTCTCATCCAGTGAAGTCCCGCTTACTCTGAGAGCAATGTCTGCCGGAGTCGCTGCCAAAGCTGTGAAGATACAGTCTGCCCCAATCAGGATCAGGCCGAACCTCTGGCTGAATTTGCGCGCTCGCAGCGCTAGGTGTTTGCGCTGGATGCGCGCGCTGTCGCAGAGAGCGAAGAGAATGAGGAGAAAGCAGACAAGCTAGCCGCAGATGTGGCGCGAAACCCTTGCGACGCGGATTCCCGCCACTCCAATTTTGGCCTGGTCAGGATTGGGGCAGACTATACATACAAAGTCAACACTCACTTCCACGATGAGCACAGCTTGGCTAAGCGCAGAGGATAGAAGGTTGATTCGAAAAAGAAAGATTCGAGTAGCACAACCGGATCTGAAGACGCGACGGATCACACCGGACATTCTCATTGTCAAGATCTAATTGATCAATTCATCTTGAGGGATCGACCATGTACAATTCTTCCGTCTGGGCTTATCCTCACCCCTACTGTTTTCGGCCATGCAATCTCCGGAAGCAGTCGTATGTACGCAATCAAAACGGAGGAGTATTCGCAGAACACCGCAATCACCAGCGCCTCCTACCATCCAGTTAGTAAAGGAAACTCAGTGAAGCAGAAGCCAACTAGAACTGTTGAACAAACGAACCGCGCAAGTTCAAAACGCCGTGTGAAGAAGCTCGACTGTTCGATTCCGGCAAAGAAGCTTGCACAACCTGTAAAGTCACCAACGAAAAGCAGAAGCGATCAACGCAACAACGCCTTTGATGGACTGCAGTTCAATCGCAAACGCCGAAAATCAAGGACTCATGGACAGTCGGTGAAGAAGAATACTGAAGCTCAGCTGGGACATTTTGCTTCAGCGTTGCGCCTGGCCCCGAAGGCCAATCACGGCACGATGACCGACCACCGTAGGATTCTTAGACGAGGATACAAACCTGTTGTAGAACTCATGTGATATATGTAATTCAACTAATGTTGTGATGATGTAATTTGAATTTGTTAACGCTTCAGTAATAGTGTAATTTGTATTTTCTTGCTTTCGCGCCTTCCGTCGCGCGCCCCACTGTCGTAGATTATTTGTGAATCTACGACCTTTACCATTGTAGAGTCATATTGTATGCTATATTCCGTATCCACTAGCTTGTCGTTGACAAACGTTACTGTTCACTAACCACTTAAGCCGCCAGGTCACCCCTCCATTGTGCTTGATAGTCTACTTGGCGGCGCCTACTTTCATGTAGGCAATCCTTGATTCTGTATGATACTGTTATTTGCCAGAAGTGAGCATTCAGGTTATCCACGCCCAAAATAGTGGCATAAAAGGGCCTGAATACTCAGTTCTGGTGTTGGTTCGATTATTACCACTATCGTCAGCGGCTGTTCCGCATATTCACTGTTAATAGTCAGCGGCTGCTCCGCTACTATCTAATAAACAGTTATACCCGTTGTGGTACCAGCTTGGTGTATACCAAACCAGAGAAGCGAGTATTCTGATTTCAATCAATTATTACGAAGCATTTTGTTCAAATTGATGAAAGATTTTCTACGGGAGCCGGGTTCCTTTCTCAGCGACCTGTAGCTTGCACTTTTAACTCTTTCTTCCACATTCGCTTCTTATAAAGAAATCCGGACATATATCTGTCAGTTTCGAATATCTGTAGAAGTTTGTGACCATTCACGAGAGTTGCGCATTTTTTATTTGACATGATAATTTTATCCATTAAGGCTGGTACAACATATTGTAACTATTCTTCTCATTTTTCTGATATTAGGCGTCAAATTGAATGTAAAGTCCGTACCCTGCGGATACTACACGCTTTTTATTTTTGACGCCTAAGTCAAAAACGATGTCGGTTTAAATTTTATAATCCTGTTGGCCCCTTCGGCTTTCTCTCCGTCGTTGATGGGCCTAAACAGAAGATTCAACAGCGACGTACAGTCGAGTAGATTTTCCGCTTTATATAGTGTGTCTGCATACAAAGTGAAATGCGGTGAAATTTTCGCGTGATCAAATAGCTTCGACTGTGACGCCGATCAGTTGCGCGCGCAAAATGCCGGCAATGCTGGCGTGGCTATTTATCCACGCGCAAATTTCACCGCATTTCACCTTCTGTGCAAGCACACTATATTAAGCGGAAAATCTACTCGACTGTATGTATGATAGTGTTGGCTTACCTGACTCGCACAGTAACCCGAATATTAATTTTACTTTCCACTTTTTTGTTGGTCGACATTGTAATTGGAGTATCGAGTAGCGCTTGCTGATGCTGAAGATTATGCCGTATTTTCATTTCGACAAAATATTACCGAAGCGAAGATACGGTACGCGGATCACAAATATCACCTGCACTAATCTCAGACACTGCGGCGACGCGCGCGCCTATGGTAGGTGCCAGAGTAAGGCTGGGTTCATACTGAGCCGCACAAAGCGGCACAGTTCCAGCTTCAAGCACAGTTCGAGTGCTGTGCTGGAACTGTGCCGCTTTGTGCGGCTCAGTATGAACCCAGCCTTAGCTACTACACATATCAGGTGGCGGGCGTGCGTAGCTAGTAGTATCGATTCCGTATGGGCCCGTGACTGAAAGACGAGAAAAAGCGCGCCCTATAGCCATTTTGCAGCGCTAGCTAGTCCCACACACCGGCTGGCGGCCGTCCGAATACCGGCCGGTGGTCGTAGACTAGGCGGCTGAGTGAAATTGACACCACCCCCACCGGCCGGTATTCGGACGGTGGCGGGCCGGTGTGTCTGGGGTAGGGGAACGAAAGCCGCCAGCTTCGGTCGCCTGCGCGGACTGCTGGTCCTGGAAAGACATGCAACAACATTGCGAAAGGACCAGTCAGCCGCGAAAGGCGGCTCAAACTGGCGGCTTTCGTTCCCCTACCCGAGTGTCTGACGTCAGGGAAGGTTTTCGGCTGTAAATGCAGACCGTTTTACACAATACGCTTGAGACCAATAAAATGCGGTTGATTCTCAAGAATGCGGAAGATTTCTCTTTCATACGATCTGTCGCATATTCATATTCATGTCGTTTGAAGCGACTTTTTTGTATTTTTACGTGCTTTTTGAGTGAGAAAAGCTCGTACCAAAGAGCTCCCACAAGAGTTTGATTTTCTGGTGTCCCTCCTGCTGGTATGCGTAAGCCTAGGTAGAATGCATTGTTTTGCCAGAGCGATGACTAGCGACTCTTTCTGTTGTCAAATGAGGCAATATTTTGGCGTTTTTCAATAGTTGTCGCGTTCCCTGTAACATCAGTTCTGTTGTTCAGCCTAGTTATATCAGTTTCTTTGCTTAGCTATGGAAATGAATCGAATTCATCCCCTTCATTCCTCCGTAATAAAAGCGGAACATTTGTCTTACCACAAGCTTGCAAATGTCCAGTCTGTCACTTCCAGCTACTGCGCTCTGACCGGGTGCTAGAGGCCTCTAACGTAGTTTTCACGTGTTCGGGATGGACACGTCCGGTGCTGTGTTCTCTCCGACAGGTAAGTTTTGAGGTTTACTTCGTCTAACTTAAGTGGTCTTAATTATGTTGACATCAACGTTTTCTTTAGTTCCATCTTCTGTGGATGTTGTGCAATGTGCAGATTGCAGTGCGGATGATCCTCAGTGGGCTTCAATCAATCGCGGTGTCCTCATATGCTCGGATTGTTGCTCGGTTCACAGGAATTTAGGTATTTTTATCGCGTTACCCACTTTGATTCGTATCAATATCAAGTAGCTGGAAATTTCCGCGAATTATTAGTGATGTAGCTTTGCGGTAGTAAGCCATGTTTCAGGCAGGCAATACTCGCAAGTACGTTCACTCAATCGTGGAATGTGGGACACACCGCAGTTGGAGCTTGTGAAACTGCTACACAAGTGGTTCTTCTTCCTCGTGTTCTTATCGAATTATTGTTCAAGAAAAAACTCGTCATGATACTTTCAGAACTGGTTCCAATCGCGTATGGGAGCATGCCATGCTTGATCCAGCTTCCTCCTCAAAATACAAAAGAAAACCTTTGCCCCAGTGAGTTGATCCAAAAACCGAGACTATTTCTTTCGTTTTTTTTTTGTTACAACGCGTCATATTATGCGGAATCTGGCTTGCAGTAATGATGTACAGGGCTTATCAACTGCAGTGTCGGGTGCACTAGCATCTCCGCTCCCACGTGGCCGCTCTGCACCTCTTTCGCGAACATGCTCTCTGATCACTTTCAGGGCGAGTGTGGGAAAGACGGAGCCTCAATCGATGATTGAGAGCATGTTCGCGGAGGAGACGCAGAGTCCAGCGCGGGAGTGGAGATGCTGGTGCACCCGACTCTGCAATTGATAAGCCCTGTACACTTTGTTGTTTTAACGTGTAGGCTAACTTGGACATGCGAGATTGTTCCAAGTTAAAACTGATGGCCCTCTATGCTACGCACTACACTTGAAGGCAACATCCACCCTAAGTTAGGGATCCTGAGCTTTTTGCAGCCCACGATAATAGGACCCCCCCCCCCCCCATTAAGCCAGTGCCCAAGTCGCGGCGCAAAATGTCGCCTTCTAAGCGAGAAATCGCTTTGGGGCGAAGAGGCATGAGCACCCTACGTTGCAACGCCCTCTCCAGTAATGCTCGCCCATACCTGCGCAACCACTCAATCACCCTTCCGCAGAAGCAGCCTGTGGGCTCCCCAACGGAGATTGTCGGGGGGCTTACCGGTTTTCGACTTCATATTTGTTCAGGGATATGATAAATTCTCGAAACGACCAAAACATGGAAGTCGAGAATTCGGGTGGACGATGCATTCAATCCGCTTGTTGCGCTTAATCCAGATCTACTTCGCTATTGGTTAAATTAGTGAATTGACCAACAGCGAGGATCATGTCCACTTGGTCCACCTTGCTATTGGTCAGTTCACTGATATGAGTGATAGGGAATTGGATGATCGATTGAGTGTGACGCGTGCTTAACGACATTGGACAGGCAGCAGCGCAAATGGTTCATTTATAGTCAAGAAGCTGATCTACAAATCTCTCAATTCTTCCATTAGGTATGTGATCTAGCGAGGACTCGTGCGCTAGATTATATGGTAATGGGTCAGGCTTCAAAGGCAACGGCTCGGCAGAATGACAACTTTGGGATAGTCATCGTTCTCGGTTTCCCTGAATGAGCTAAGTCCAGGACTGTGCTTTGCAGCCTCAAAAGATATCAATAACCCGCCTTTCCAGAACGTGAAAAGTGCTATTTGGGCGGACGGCGTATGCCTGCCCTCTACAACGCGATTGGCTCGGGAGTGGAGACACCGTTACCATCCCCGCGGCAATTGGGTTATTGGCTCTAGCAGCCACTTTCGGTCCGCCCAAACAGCCTTTCACGTCCGGAAAAGCGGGTTATTGATATCTTTTAGATGCACAGTCTTGGACTTAGCTATCCAGGAGAAGGGGAACCGAGGACGATGAATATCCCAAAGTTGTCATTCTGCCGAGCCGCTGCCTTTAAAGGCAGTGGATCGGCAGAATGAAACCCGTGGCAAAACAAGGTCACAGGGTAGGAGCCCCATAATGGAACCTATGGGCCAAAGTTCGATCTTTCTCTGCCACTTCTAACCCCCGAAATTTCGAAGCGAAAGCAGCGCTCATCTCCTGTCCTCTCCGAACCCGCCCACCCCATGGACGAGTGACTTCCGCGGTCACAGCGCCAGCCGCAATGCTATAAGCATGAGGTCCCGCAACGACTCTGCGTCTTCGCCATGACGGGCTTGGCTTCACTCGTCCGGCGGGCGGGTTCGAAGAGGACAGGAGATGAGCGCTGCTTTCGCTTTGAAATTTCGGGGTTAGAAGTGGCAGAGAAAGATCGAACTGTGGCACATAGGTTCCATTATGGGGGCTCCTACCCTGTGACCTTGTTTTGCCACGGGTCTCATTCTGCCGACCTACTGCCTTTAAGGTATTGAAGGTGAGTTTGTGCGCGCAAATCGCCTGTATTACAGTCGTGGCTATCTGTTCACGCGCAAATTCTTCCGCATTTTCTCGGCACCGTAAGGGCACTACATTTACCGACAAATCTGATCGACTGTAACTACATCTTTTCTACAGTAGTATCGTTTATGAGCGAGTTTGATAATAATTTTCAATGCCCTTTACAGTCGAGTAGATTTTCCGCTTAATATAGTGTGCTTGTACTGAAGGTGAAATGCGGTAAAATTTGCGCGTAAACAAGTAGCCACGCCAGTAATGTCAGCATTTTGCGCGCGCAAATGGCCGGCGTCACAGGCGTGGCTATTTCTTCACGCGCAGATTTTACCGCATCTCACCTTCAGTGCAAGCACACTATGTTAAGGGGAAAATCTACTTGACTGTAACTACTTCGGTATTTTCGTTTTATCCTTGACTTCAATAAGGTGCGAGTTCAAAGGCAGTGTCCGGGCAAAAACTCGATTTCGAGATTTTGTGCTTACCCGGGCCTATTCGCTACTCTGAATCCGAAAGTCCACGGAGAGCTCGAAAATGGCGAAAAAGGGCTCTAACGCAGGAGGGAAACCCAGAAGTGGGCGGGGTCCCCCTCGCTGTGCATTCACGGTCCCAGCTCCCGGAATAATCTTCTCGGTTCCGATTCCAGGTCACGCTTTCGCCCTTGGCTCAGGGTGGCTGGCGGAATTGGGAAGATCGCTCCGGAAGCCGGGACCGTGAATTGACTTTCGGGATGACCCCGCCCACTTCTGATTTCCCTCCTACGTTAGAGGCCTTTTTTGCCGTTTTCGCGCCCTCCAGTGTGGGTTTTCGGATCCAGCATAGCGAATAGGCCGGGCAAGCACAAAATCTCAAATTCCATTTTTCACACTGCCTCTAAAGGCACCCTCCATCCTAGACTGGGGGTATTGAGCTTATGGCAGCATATGATGGTAGGGCCCTCCATCAAGCTAATGCCCAAGTCGCGGCGCAAAATGCCGCTTCGGAAGCGAGGAAATCGCTCCGGAATAACGAAGATGCTCGAGGACCTCCATCCATACCCGCCCATTTGTGCGCGCCTATCCAATCACCGTTCCGGAAAGGCGGCATGTGAGTTCACGGAGATTGTCGGGGTTTTCGCGCATTTTCGACTTCAAACTCGGAATCAGGGACATGAGAAGGCCCTGAAACGACATAAACCTGGAAGTCGAGAATCTGGGTGGACGGTGCCTTTGAAGGCACTGTCCGGGTAGAAACTCGATTTTTAGAAAATCTACTAATCGGGAATTATCCGCAACGCTAAATCCGCGAAAACGGCGAGAACATCTGTTTTTCAAAGCCTTAGACTTTGAAATTCGACGGTCCCCGCCAAGGCTGAGACGCAGAGTCACTGCGGGACCTGCGAATTTGACCGTGGCGGCATGCGTACTCTGCCGCCTAGCAGGAATTCGAACAGGTCGGAGAACCCCGCCCCAAGGCGGAAGTTTCAAAAGAAGTGTCCGGGCAAGCTGATGGTTTTGGGATTTCAGTGCCATGCGAAAGTGGCCCTCCTTAGACACAACATCGCGCAAGTGCGAGGTCATAACGCTCGACTTAAAGCAGAAAAACGACCAAAAATTGTAGTAACTTACGCCCTGGGGCGAGGTCCTCCGATCTGTTTGAGTTTCTGCTATGCGGCAGAGCACGCATGCCGCCATAGTCAAAATCGTAGGATCCGGTAGTGACTCCGCGTCTCAGCCTTGGCGGGGACCGTTGCATTCCAAATTGTAAGGCTTTGGAGAACGCATGTTCTTGCCGTTTTCGAGCCTTCTAATGTGAATTTTCGGATTCAGCGTTGCGGATAACCCCCGGTGAGTGGAAGTTCTAGAAATCGAGTTTTTGCCCGGACACTGTCTTCGAGGTTGATTGGGATGATTCAAAGTGACCCCCAGTTATTACACAAAATTTGGGGAAGCGTTCATGAAGGTGTTTAGGTTATGGTCTCCTGGAAACTTCGGAAGGGTGTGTTAATCTGCGCCTCGTATAATCGCATTATTTTGATTGTTTATAACAGCGCACATGTAGCAGGTGCAGTTCCTGCTCTAAGGAACTTGCCATTCTTAATCGACTTGATTCATTTCTTTCACTCTACCAATAATCATCAGTGATTTCACCAGTCTATTATGGTATGCCATAGACTACGGCCAGACTTCACTCAAAAGCCAAAGCGCCCAGATTTCTCTAGTTCTCTCATCTGTCCTCACACGAAAAGGTGAAGAGACATTAGAGAAATCTAGGCGCATTTGAGCGCTTTTGAGTAAGTCTGGCCGGGGCCTTACACGTGACTACCATAAAGTCCTATAACAAAACCGCGTCCTACTAAATTCATTGTGGCGGTGACAACTAGCAACCTTATGACCATTATTTTTGCTGACTTCGTACTGTCAGTTGTAAATTCTAGTGATCCCATCCTGCCGACGAAGGAGGCGTTCATCAAAGCTAAATATGTTGATCATGCGTTTATTCGCAAGCCAGGAAAGGACGATGAACCATGGAGTCTGGATGACGTGAATAAACAGCTGTGGTCTTGCGTTCGCACCGCTCATGTTGACACAACTTTAAGGTTGGTCGTTTACCTTGTAGTTCCCCGTGTTTTTGAAAAGTGTTGTTTTCCAGTAGTTCCATTCTTATTGATTTTTTGCAGATTGTTAGCTATGGGAGCAGATGTCCATTACGTCGATCCAGAAAAAGGGAATAGTTCGTTGCACGTTGCTGCGAAGGAAGGACAGAGCATGCAGGTTTGTTCTTGATGTCTGACCGCTTGACACATTGACGACAACGCGCATGTTGTCTCCCTTGTGGAACGCAGTGTAATAAAAAGACTAGACTTTTTAGCCATAACCAGAGTTGAGCAGGTCAGGCACAAGTAGTTCGGAAACGACTCCCCCCCCCCCTTCCAGGAAAGCCCTCAAACTCTCTTAATCCTCTCCACCTCCGGAACCTCAGAGTATGACACTCTGGAGAAGACGAGTCTGTCCTGCGGAGTTTTTGATTTATAGGAGGCTGTATAATCGCTTTTCTGTGAACATTACCGGATTTTGACACGAATCGCCCTATTGGACGAGTCAGTTCCCCAGGGGTGGAGTGTTTTTGCTCCAAATTTTCACCGAGGCAAGAAGAGGCTATGAGTCAATAAGCTCGCGTTTGTTTGATACTTCTTTGGCGTTTTTTTTTGTTTTCCTATGTCAGTTCTTACAGACGAGTAGATTTAGCGCTAAATTAGTGTGCTTGCACAGAAGGTGAAATGCGGTTAAATTAGCGCGTGAAGAAATAGTTTCGACTGTGACGCCGGCCAAATGCGCGCGCAAGATACCCGCGGTACTGACGCGGCTACTTGTTCACGCGCAAATTTCACCGCATTTCACCTTCTGTGCAAGCACACTATATTTATCGCTAAATCTACTCGACTGTATGTTCTCTCTTCTATTATCTCACGGCGGATTCCTTACTTTCATAGTGAAGTTAGAGGGGATTTCGTTCTTTGCAATTTCGCGCACCTCGTGCCCAGCCCTGTGTGAGTCATTGCTTAACCCATCATGTGAATCACCTTGTCGTCAGTGTGATATCACAACCTATTACGTTCAGTTAGCATTAGGTGTCCGGCAGCAGATCATCTTTCCTTACTTTTATCTAGAAACCGATATATGTACATATAATATACATATACATATATAATATATTAGGCCTGGGAAAGCATGCTGGAATATGCGTAGTGACTCCACTTACTGATATGGATGTTTCAGGTAGAGTTGCTGTACATCTATGGTGCAGATACGCTACTGTGCAATGCAGCCGGCTTGACTCCTGCTCAGTTAGCTCGCCAGGATGGATTCGTAGGGTTTTCTACCCATTACTTTGTTCTAATTCAAGATTCTTTTTCAGCATGACATAGCAAGTCGGCTAGATGAATTGTCCTTTGATCTTACCAATCGGCTCTCTTTATTTCTTTGTGGTCGCAAACCTGACCACCAGGTTGGTTATAGTTTCAATTTGTTCTTCTTCAACAGTCAAGTCAGTATTTAAAGCACCAGCAACACTTCCTCATTCCCGAGCTTACCGCCAAGAATGCTGTGGAGACATTGCGGTCAGTTAGAATGAAAATTCAGGCTTTACCAGACTGTGCTTTTGAGAAACTTCTCCAGGATGTCTACGACGAGGTATTGCAATATTTGTTTCTATCCCCTCACCTATCTCGTCTGCATTCTTATTCTTTATTTATTTTATTTATCTATTTATCACGCACAAGGCGTGCCATAACTAGAGTTTTGAAGAAAAGGAACTATGTGTAAACTAGGTATGAAGTAACCACTCAAAGTAATGGCGTAAAGGCTCAATGTAGTCTGCAAAGGCGATCTTTATTATTCAGTATAAGGGATCGTCCAGACCGCGCCGGAACCCGCGCAAACGCCCAAATACGTCCGGATCCGCCCAAATCCATCCAAACACGTCCGAACCTGCCTGAACTGCCAAAGCGCAGCAGACAAATTGGCATATTGGAGCACGCATGCGATTGATTCTTCTAATATCCGAGTAGTTGCAAAAGAAGATCGGGATGTAGTACGTCAAGCTACGTGTGACTAAGATATATGCACCACGCGCGCAGTGTTCCACGCGTGCTCCAGTATGCCAATTTGCCGTAAAAAGGGGGTGCACCGGACTTAAAACAACGTGTGGACAAAGTATAAATTTGATCAAACACCAACGTAGAAGATTTCAGCTGAAGTCAGCTCTAATTCCCTCGGTTCTACGATCAAATACGGCCACATAGGAAATAGAAAAACAAAGCTTGTAGTTAGTTCATACAGTCAAGCAACAATGGATTAATCTAGCCCTGGTCAAACTTTACTAGACAAAAAACAACTCCAACACAGCAGAAGGCGATTGCTCCATGCTGTAGCAATCATTAATTGTCAGGGACCCGTCATACTTCGCCGAAAAAAGCCCAAGAGCGCCCAAAAAAGCCCGAAAAAGCCCAAAAAAGCCCGAAAGCGCCAGAAAGAGCCGGAATGTAGAAAGAACTTTTGGTAGAATTCTGACATTATTTTATCATGTGGACGACAGAAAATGACAAAAAGGCTCGATTGCGAAGTCAACACACATGCCTTAGCGCCAAAACGTGCGAGAAGTGTTCCGGCTCTTCCTGGCGTTTTTGGGCTTTTTTGGGCTTTTTCGGGCTTTTTTGGGCTTCTTTGGGCTTTTTTTCGGCGAAGTATGACGGGTCCCTCAAAACCATCCAGCCAAAACCCAGCGAAACTTCAAACGCACTATGAATACTAGATAAACGGGTGGGGACTATATGTCGCCGAATTTGGGAGAGTCCCGCGCGGATTCCCTGCAGGAACGCATGTCCGCGCATGTACCAGGGTGCGTATTTGTCGCAAACGCCGCGGGGACCGCCCTTTTTAGCGACATACAGTCCTCTACCCCTAGATAAACTAAGAAGAATATCCATCGCATGCCAACACGTTCAAGATCACCTAAATCAGTGACGCAGGGCCCAGTTGTTCAAGACCAGTGACTATAAGGTCGCTGTTCTTGAGCATTCGGGCAAGCTGAAAATGATTCATGGCTCAACTGCTTCATAGCAAACCGCCATTAGCCGTTTACTCTCAAGCAGTTAGTCTAGAATTCTTGCTATCGGTCGAATTGAAAACCTCATATGGCAAGAGATCAAGCATCTGGCGGTCGAAAAAGGAGTGAAAACTAGTGAATAGTGTTTTCTAAATATCCTTTCATTCTGGATTAAAGACAGCTCATCTAGATGAGCATGGCCGGAACCTCCAGTACTTACTGGCGCTCAAATTGGTTTCCTTTTTTAATATGCGAAAAGCAAATGTTAGATCATTGCAAACTCTTCTCCTGAATAGTAGAGTGTGCAATGACAGAGTTTTCAATCTTTCTACGTAGTCGGGCAGGTTTACTGGTCTAATTCCCGGATAAATACAGTTAAATAATAATCGTTTAATAATAGTTTTTGTATCTGTTACTTACGGCATGATAGGATACTGCTGCTGTTTAAGGACAATGTCCTGCTTTTCACTTAACTGATTGACATTCAATACTATGCGTTTCAGGTGGACCGTCGAGAAACACAAGCAGCATGGATCGCGTTGAATCAAGGGAAAATAACAACAGGCACCGAGCAGTGCGTGGCCGTTTTTTTACCAGTATGTTTGTACATCACGTAAAGGCATTCCCCCCCCCCTCCCGCCCCCGTCTAATGCTGTCTCAAAGTAACCGTCATATCGTTAGTTCGTCTGTGATCTGCCTCTCATTTAGTTGAATCCTGCCTTCTCAGCCACACGGAATCAACTGCGACAAAAACTGGCGAAGTACGATGTTCGGGAATTTGCGACCCTCATAATTGATGTATTGAAGGTACCGTCCGTTAAAGTTGTAACGAATAGAAATTTTGGCGTTATTCGGCTATCCGGGCCCCAAAATTTCTTGTCATGGATTTCGCTCAAATTTGGCCCAGAGGGGTTATCTGACATGCTGATAACGAATATCACCTTTTCTCCGCAGGAAAACGCCTCCCTGCAGGGTTACGGTAGGTGCACGGTAGGGGGTCAAAATCACGGATTTGCCCGAAACTTGGCCCAGAGGGGTTATTCGGCCCGCTCATGCTGAATATCATATTGTTTTATACCGTAGAGCATGATTACCTCGGTGCGCTTACTGGTTGTATTGGTTACAGCTGGGATATCCATCTTCGCTCATCCCCTGTTAAGACAATATGGTAAAGGTGCCATTGCTCGCTTCTGTACAAAGTCGCCTTCTGTTCCACTTCTATGTGCCAGCTTTTTGCTCTCATGAATTCGTAATCAGCATGCTCACTAACCCTTAGGCCGACTCCCAGCATCGTAGCTCAAAAGGCAGGTTACGACACCCACCCGTTCTCTAAGTGTATGCATGCAAAGCTTAGTCCGAATTGCCCGGTTGAAAACGGGACTTTTCCAGTCGGAATACGAACATACATAGATGCAGGCCGTGTATCGTAACAGTCCCGCTCAGTACTATAGCAGCGATAGGCGCGCATGCTAGATCTTTAGCCACATCACCGATCTGGGATTTCTACAGCTTTTTATGTCTCTTTTACATTCATTCATCAATAAGTGAGAGCCACTATCATAACAGAAAATAAAGCAATGCATTTCTGCAAAGATTTGTATCCTGCTTCTGTGTACTACTGACTTTGTTGGGCTGAGAAATGGTTGTGTGTGTATTCGTGCATTTTTGAAAAAAAAAAAAGACGTTTGTTCTAGGAAGCAAAACGTCGCTACTTCGGTCGACCTCCCGAAGATCCTCAAGACTCAGACTCCGGTAATCTACACAACTTTTCAAGGTAATCGTTTTGCTGACCTGTTTGTAAAGTATTTCGGATTGTTTAGTAATACAAGAATGGATTCGAGTGAGCTCAACAATAGAGATTATGACGATGTTGCTGACTTTCCAGGCAGGCTGGGCGAGATGCGCTCCAGTGGTACGACAAGGTATGTACACTGAGTCCCATGTTATATCGTGTTGGAAAGACCCATCAGAAATTTTGTGTGCTAAGCACATCAGCGTCATCAAAATTTGTCCTCTTTGCCACTTTTTCTGTTATTCATTCTATAATTGCTTTTATGCTGGTATATACGTACATACCCGCTGAGGAGTAAAGTGGGGACCTGTGCTAAACTTCAGATATCGCTGAGGATCTTGCATTTTTGGTCGCATATCTATTTTCGAGTAGTCCTACCCAGTACTAAAAGCTTTTTTTACGAAGTTGTACTATCATATGAACTGCGATTTTCAATCTTCCTATGATCTTCTAGGAACTTCTAGAGGATCCTCTGATTTGATAAAAAGAAGTGAGTGCGGCTCAATCTTACAACTTCATGTCCCTTCATTTTCGCATCGAGACTCCCTTACACTTTTGCATCGAAGTCTTTGCACATCTTTACCATGTCAAATCTATAGTTAGCTATCCTCATGGCTTGAGCCTTCTACCCTGTCATCCTGCTATGTATCTTACTATAACAATTCTGAGATCTCCATAAAGGCACAACGATTGGGGAGAACCAGCTCATCTGAGTTATTGGCCCAGATGGCATGGGAAATACTCAAAGGCGGCATCCATCCAAAATTGAGGATGAAGAGATTACGCATGGTGCAAATCGCTCCAGATGTTACCTGCCGACATGTCCGTCCCCATCAACGTAGATGATTTCAAGAAATATTCAAAGTGAATGTAAGCGGAAATTTGCCATTGATTGTGAAAAACACCTTTTCGACGTGTCTATCTACTTGGAGCCTATAGGGCTCCTCAACTTCAGAACACTCACGTAAGTGGGCAGACGGACATTGGCGGGTAAGTTCCAAAGCGACTTTCTCGTTCGGAAATCCTCGTTGGCAGCAGAACTCGAACAACTACTTAAAAGTTGTGAGCTATGGGCCTCGTTGTTGTGCCGGTGAAACCTCTCCTCTAAATTTGGTTGGACGGTGCCTTTAAAAAACAGTAGCTTTTGACATTTGCCCCTCTCGAAGTATATTTGTGCAAAGTTTGGTGGCTCAGTCAGGAAAGAAATTTTCTTTCCGGACTTAGGTACACACACGCAGACATAAACATACGTTGAGATTTTAAGAGATTTGAAAAACTGCACAATGGCTGTGGAAACTAGTCCACGACACTGTTTGTTCGTATTATGTGTTCACGAATCAGATTAGAGTGCTCTAATGAGTCTTCAGCTACGTTTATTCACTTGTTTAGAAGATCATCTGGAAATAAAACGCGCTCGACTTCTTCAATAGATGCGGCCTTAGATGGGCGTGTTTCAATGGACGACGTACTCGAACTGAAGGAACGAATGACTGAGAATGAAAACAAGCTAAATGCAGTTTCTCACACCAATACTCAGATTATGAAGTGGTTTATTTGTAGGAAATGATTGTCGCGGTATGTCATTACTCTTTTCAGAATACTTACCAGTTTACAGAATTCTATGGAACACATGCGAGTTGAGAACAGTTGTCTCAAGGATGAAGTAAGTGACTCGTGTAAAATCAGTGCTTCGTCGACTGCTGCTAATGCGTAATACAGATTGTTCGACTGTCTGAACAAGCCGCACTAGCTAGACGCTTGCCCTCACCGGCTTCCCTATCTCACAACCATATATCTGAAAGGGCACACTCTGTTGGTTTGGAAAGGAGCGAACGCATTGGTCGACCACCACTAGGTCTTCTTTTCGTGACTGTAACAAAGACCTTCTGAGGCTACAACAACGATATTGAGTGCGAGAATACAGTTTCAGAGGAGAGAATTACAAAAAGACATGGAAGCATGAGCGGGTCTACGCCCGGATACTCGCGAATGGTTCCCAGCGGGAGGTTGAGTGCGGAAACTCACAGGTATCTATCGATGCATCGTGTGCACGTCGACGGAATTTGTGTACCATAAAGAGAACGTATTTGCAAATTTTTTATTAGATTGAAACTCGGTTTTACAACTTACTCATGTAATACTTTTCAGAGAGCGAGATGAACCTCGGGATTCATCTCGGGAAAAGCGGTTACGTGAACGGAATGCGGATTCCAGTGATTACGCTACTATAGCACCAGCCCCTCAAGTAGTAGCATCTAAGGTGCAAGAAGCTTTCAGTGAATCTGGTATGCAGCGCTGAAGTTTTGTTACTCCTTTGATGAGAAAGTTCTAGTGTTTCCCGACAACTTGATTCGCGAGACAGAAAATCTAACCGTGGCGATCCGAGCTTTGCTCACAGATGCGCAACACAAACAACTCCTTGGACGCTCCAGTGATCATGCCCACAAGGTATCTTAGCAAATGGACATTCGTAAAAAAAATTGTTTGTCTGCGATCCAGATTGCCACCCTCATCAATCACATAATATGTTTGATTCCACGAGATCAGCGCATGGGCAAGACGGAGCAAGCAGTGACGGGTCTCATGGATGCTACTATGGTAAGTTTATACAGTACTAGCTGACATGCCCGGCTCCGCCCACACCGTGGGTTCAGCTAGCTTAACAAAAAGCAAAATAGGTGCGCGATTTCAAAGGCTCAACACATCTGTCATTGGGCTTTCTTCTGTTACTCATTTAACGCAGGGCACATCCTGACCACATCGCTTTGAATCACCGCGACCCGGCATGGTGAGATGGAAATGAGTTTTACCGCTATTATTTACGCGAAAGTTAGTGGTGGTCTGATAGCACCTGATGAGATTTCATTTTTCTTTGGGATCGACAAATCAATAGAAGGAGTTGGTTCCGCCGCGAAAAGTAGCCTACGTGGTGGGCAGGTGTCGAACGCATATGTGTAAAGGCTACTGCAGGACGAGGGCGCAAAGGCAGTATTAGCTGAGCGGGCGCGAACCCGGCGCGCGCGTATCTTCATCGTTGTAAACCTTACGCTTCTTGCGCTCTGCGGCTAATATAGCCCGTTCGCGCTCAAAGGTATTGCGCCTTCGTCATGCAGTAGCCTATACAAAGTTTGGCGCTGATTGGTCCACACACAAAAATATAGCGCACAATCTAACTAACAATTTACCAACGCTCAGTTATAAATATGTACAGATGTCAGGCGCAGTAGATGAAGTTAACCATGTAGGGCGCTTTTGCTTCGCTACAAGCTTTGCGAGCGCCCAACACTTGAGACGAAGAGAAAGAAAGGACGCGGAACAGGCCTTTGTCACGAATGCTATAGTGCCGTCGCAATACGGCGCGAACGGTTGCGTGACGGACACCTGACTTCAGCCTGAATTGGGTTATAATTGACTGTACTTGTGCTTACTACCAATCACCCATAGAGGGAGCAATTCGTTCTTCTTGTTACATCGTCATTTGATAGCTAGCAATTTTAGAAAGTGCTTAGGGTTTACATATAATCTTACATCTTCAACTGGAAGTGTTTGTTTGCAGATCCTAAGCGCAAAATGCAATGCTCCAATCTTGGATGCAGAAGACGCCTGCCATGCAGCTTACAGCGTTGCACAGTCGGCAAAGATGTTGCTTATGGCAGTACATCACTGAACTGCTCATCAGCGGCCTGTCCACCACTGTGCCGTCTCCCCCTGTTCTAAAGAACTAGGTGAATCGAGCATGCAAATTTTACTGGTACACTCTTTTTGATTTCTGTTTCTCTTTTGACGTTCTCTCCAAGTTTATTCGACGATTCCCGAATAATGTGATTTTGAAGTTGCCTCAATCTAGTGCTTCATATTGGCAGCGCAATCTCGTGTCATAGAACTCATTTTTGAATCTTCGATCCTTAACTAGCCTCTTGATAATTTCTAGGCTTAATATGATACGGTCACATTTTCGAGGGCCTTCCATGAGCGGATGTATCATTTGAGCATGTTTTAAGTGGTGCTTTCGTACTTCATTGCTTGTTATCTCATCGTTTGTTGCCATATTTCAAAGAGTAATAAATTTTAGTTCACGGTTGGCACTATTGCTCAACGATATCACAGCATCCCGGCAGCCTTCTACGTTTCTATCGATTTGGTGCCTTAGCCGTATTATTCGCAATAGTGAATTTTGCACAGTTTTTGTCGAGAGAATGCCAAAAAAGAAAAGCATCAAAAGCAGAAGAAATACCCGAACATCGTGTGATGCTTCGCCACGTTGAACAATAACAGCGTGGCGTTTTTGGAGCTCTGTAGTTTCGTTCTCGTAGTTAAGAAATCGCGGCAGCCATACCCTTACCAAAGTTATGCACTCTTTCAAAACCTACCGTCTCAATGTTCATTACCCATATTTACTAGTCATGAGCTGTCCTGCAGTGTCTCATGACCTCTCCATGCGGTTTTCTTATCAGCTGCCTACACACACACCTATCAAGATTTGCCGCTGTGAGCGTTTGATTATCACCACTCTCACATATGTAACTAGTACTACTGCTCGATTTTTATCTTCAACCCTAAATGTTTGCAATTTTTTGTAAGTGTAGATGCTCACGTTGTCTTAGAATGTTGTGCTCTCCGGCAACTTAGAAAATGCTTTATCTGCGACATTCAGCATGTAACTTTTCTAATCAGATTTTGCTTCCTAATAACGTCTTTTCCTATTAGCCATTCCATACGAAGAGTCAAGCGCCGCATCTCAAGCGTGATATATGCTGCGAATGGTATCATGCGGCGCTTTGCTGAGATTTTTTGAGCCTTTAGACTTTGATTGCCATTTTCTGGACAACTTACATAAATTATTTGGGAGGGAAACCAGACACTGTGTTAGTTCAGTGGTGTATGCGAAACCATCGTCGCGGTTTTTGCCTTCTAATTTCATATGAGTTGCTGAAGATGGCTGTTTTGTCGCCTACTGAACGCTCGCTCACTTCGAACTAGTCCGTGTGAGATAAGTGATATTGCTCGTTTAAAGTCTCATTTTTCAAATGCCGCGGCAAAAATTGAAACAAGTGATGCAAATTACGGAAAACTATGTGAGAATGCATGCATTTTCTACTGAACAATGCTATAGCGGATGGCACAACATAATTATTTGCCTTTGCATGAATCTGATCTACTCGATTTCCATATTAATGGCGTCGCTAACTCCTCCTCCTCTCTTTCATAGAAGTTATGCATATTTTGCATAAATAAACAATAATCATTCCTATCACGCCTATTATGTCTATCATCCTTGATTGCCCAGAAGTGCGATGATTCACAATTCTGACATAACCATTTGGTATAGGAGCGCTGAGGCCTATAAGGTGGCAGCTTTTGCATTTTTGTTCCTGATACAGTGCTGGCCAAAACTACAGATCCACTTTGCCGTAACTCATCTGCTTCTCAAAAAATTGATCTGAAATTTGGTACAGCAGTGTGTTTAAAAGGCCACCATCAGTGACCAGAACGGATCCCGCTTTCGTTCCATTATTAAGCAAAAAATCAAAAATTTTGAAAAAAAAAAGCAGGCTTGAACTATAGATCCACCTAGAGTTTCTGTCCACTAAAGTAGCTCTCGGCTCCCAAATTCTTTTGTGCATATACATAGTCAAAAGTCAAAACAATCGCTTTAGTCCAGCTGTGTGATACCTTTATAAGAAACGCTTATCTGCTCTTTGACTTAAAAGTACTTTCACGCACATTTTACTCTCGAGAACGTATTTTTGTAGGTGATTCCGCAGCTTTTTCCAACTGGTTTGAAAGTGATAGGGCTTCACCTATCTTATAGATGCCTAGCGAAGTGAGCACTAGAAAAAACTCAAGTCTTCGTATTCACCCGACATAGACCTAAACGCAGGTCTGCGCTCAAATTTATGCCTTCAAACTTTTCCTGCAATGTTCTCATGAGCGTGAAACGAAGTAATGACATTGTTTGTACATATGAGGGTCCGTATGCAGTGTCTGCAGATTTTTGCATGTCCCAGCATTCAAGCTATTTATCGAGGAATTAGCGAGGAATTTATCCTGCAAAAACTGATTAGCAACAAGCCTTGAAGTTATTTTTGGTTCTGATCATAATGCTCATGTGAGTCAGAGGCAACATACAATACACGGTGTTTTTAGTATTTGGCAGCTTAGTAGTGGAAAAAATTGGAAAAGGCACCACTTGATAAGTGTTGGGATTGTTTTACATTATCATTGAACCGCGAAAATTGTGCCTTGTTTGCGAAGCAAAGTGCGACTTCGCGAACAGTCGTCAATATAGTGTACAATTTTCTTTTTATGCAAATAATGCAACCACATTTTTTAGAGCTTACAAAAATAGCGTAAACCTAGTTTTGAAGATAAAAATTTGAGCGCAGCCTTGCTGTGAAGTCTATGTTGGATGCGCTTTAGATAGGAAAACTCAAATTTTCTTCTAATGTTCATTTCGCTAAGCATCCGTAAGACAGATGGAAACCTATCGCTTTCAAACCAGTTGGAAAAACTGCGAAAACACCCCTAGAAACATACTATCGGTGACAAAATACGCGTGAAAGTATTTTTGAGTGAAAAAAGCAAATAAGAGTTTCTAATAAAGATATGACACAGAACTGAATCAACTGTCTTGATTCTTGATCATGTATATGCACCAAAGATTGTGGAAGCCGAGAATCACTTTGGTGGACAGAAACTTTAGGTGGATCTATAGTTTTGGCCAGCTTTCGAGCCTGCTTTTTTCAAACATTTTGATTTCTTCCTGAACCATCAAACGAAAGCGGGAATCGGTCCTGGTTACTGATAGTAGCCTGTTAAACACACCGCTATACCAAATTTCAGATCAATTCGTTGAGAAGCAGATGAGTTACGGCAGTTTTCAGAGGTGGACCTATAGTTTTGGCCAGCACTGTATATACCACAGCCTTTTTCAACAAAGCATTTCGCAGGAGTTGCAGTTTTGAGATCAGCATTCATCCTTGACTTTAGAAACATACATCTCACATTTGATGGTCACACAGCTAAGGCGCTTTCTTTTGTACTTTGCATAGAATCCTTATTTTATCTTGGTGCACTTCATTTTTCGTTATCTTATCTGATATCAGTGTCTCGGTATTAGTACAACATATCTCAGTGAATATCATCCTTATACAGGGCATTCCAAGAGGTTAATTTGCTTGTGACTCACTCTGTCATGAGAGCTGTGCACTCTGTAATCTTTTGAGATTGTAATGGTGAACTTACAGACATTGAGGATATGTTTGGATACCTCCTCGTATCAAATAGGAACGATGTCGTGTTTTTCGGAGGAAACGAGGAGTTCAACGACTATCTTCGTCGGCGCCTTCGCCCAGAAATTTTTTTTTCCTCGAACACTCCGTCGACCTCTAGCGGAGTCTACACGAGTTCCTCCACCGAATCCCTGTCGTCTAATGAAAGTCCAAAAGGGAAAATGTTGCGTGATGCGAAAACTTACATACCGCTCACAAAACAAGAAGTTACACATCTTTTTCTGCCCATCATATCTGCATACCGATCAAAGAAAGTTGTTCACTCCGATGATTTAATCTCCATGATCACTGACGAAATCGTTGTACTCTTCAAACCGCTCAGATGCAGCTATTTACTGGTTTCCATTGGAAAGAAGTAAGTTTGTTGAACTAGCAACAAGTAGCACTCTCTGATTGTTGGGCAGTTTTGCCACTTGCTCCAATATCTCTAAATTTACAGCGAAAGGCTACAACAGCAGTTTTTGGAATATGTGGAACTCGGACTGCAAGTGAGTGCTGGGCCTCTTCTAGGACTGCTGGATACCGATCCATCGTTCATGGAGTTGGCATGGAATTTTCTAAAGTCCCTCGCGGACAATGTATGGCATAGTGACTACCATAAAGTGAAAGGTGCGTGGTTTCTATGTGAGGATTCGTACATCGCTAAGCCGCATCATAATCTCGTCTCACATACACTGGCCCCCTCTGTAAGATCACTTCTAACTAGTGAACCAGTCATTGAAAGTCCCAGATTGCACTCGCGCGCTTCGGGACCGCACCGCAGTTTCCCGCTATTTGCTGTTTTTTGAATTGGCGTTACGATTCTTTATATATTAGATAGATTAGATTAGATTAGATAGATTATTAGATGTTGCTACAAGCCATTCATCACATTAACTGTATCAACTTTATGCCAATAAAAGATTGAGAATCATAAATTTCATGAGCATCCAAGCCTGAATTCAGTTCACATCGATGTCCGCAAAGCTATATTTCTGAAGTCCAAGCTTGACATCACTCTTCCACTGATGAATGCTCTATCACTACATCTTCAAGATATCCTCGGAAGCAACAGGTTTCTATAACTTATATTTCAAGAGCTACAAGGGAAGGATACCAAGTGACCGTGACATTCCAAGACACGATGCAAATCGACATTTTTATAAGGAGCTATGAGGCATTTTCCCTCCGAGTTCGCTTGCCTCACTACTCAAAGGCCCCTCAAGTACTGCCAGTGCAACGTGTAGCCTAATAACAAATGTGCCAGAATCAGCCCTGTTTTCTTTTAGATTCAAATCCTTTTGAGTGTAAGCTCGCTGTTATATGTAAAGTTTCTTTTTGAATAAGAACCATTCCACGCTTCCACCATGTCCCTTTCTCTGCGACTGCCACAAAACTTTCTTGTCAAAGAACCATATTTGAAAACACGTTGACAAATGAGCTCACAAACCTTAGCGTAATTCTATTGAATGACTTAATCGACGACGCTTATAAAGAACATTTTGTTACATTTTCTTGCTACACTTCTTAATAGATCACGCGCAAAGCAGCGGAATTTCATACTTACTTGAAATGGGCGTATTCTGAGGCTGAAGTGGTTTTTTCCGCAAAAAGAAACTCTGCATACATCAGCAAAATTGCTGCACTCAAATGGAATCCAAAAACTTCAGAATAGCAGTAGCCATGGTCACTTGGCATTCTTCTCCTGTAAGTATTAGGTTGTCAAGAAAATAATGTCGGTTTTTATTTGCTTGCTTCAACAAAGCAAACCGACTCAACTCAACAAAAAGGTAGGGTATACTGTTCGATAGAGCAAAGCAAGCTCTACTAGACGGCATCCATGACTTGGCCAAGCTCAATTCACGGGAGTTACCACTCAAAATCTAAAGATTTCCAAATGTTCAAAAAATTGAAAAAGGTCAGATCTTCGTCCAAATAATTTCTACGGACCTCCCATTCGCACGCGTCAATACTTTCGATATCTGATATCCATATGTGCAGTTGCTGTATTTTTTCCTTGATTAGGAACTGAGAAAACGAAAATTTTCGTGATATTCCCAAAGCAATGCTGAGCAGCTCTTGCATATGTAGCTCTATACTACAAGCCTAGGTAGGCATAACTGTAGATTTTCAGCATATTCCAAGCGGTAGTTTTCGGAAAGTATCGAATTCAGCTTTTTCATCTCACAATAAGTCGTGCTGAAATCGGCATTTCTCGAAAACTACCTCTCGAAATAGGCTGAAAATCTCCGTTATGCTTACCTATTTATAGCCTAGAAACTAAATATGCAAGAACGGTTCCGCATTTGAGAATACCACGAAAATTTTCGTTTTCTCATCTCAGGGAAAAAATACAGCTTTTGTGCATATAGATATCAGATATTGAAAGTGTTGAGGTGTACGCCTGGGAGGTCCGTGGACATTATTTGGACGTTCTGATTTTTACCGGTTTTTTAGGCATTTGGAAATCCTTAGATTTTGAGTGGGAACTCTCCGTGGATTGAGCTCGGCGAAATCCTGAACTCCGTCTTGTAGAGCTTGCTTTGCTCTATCAAACAGTATCCCCTACCTTTTGTTGGGTTGAGTCTAGTTACTTTGTTGAAGCAAGTAAATAAAAACCGACATTATTTTCTTGACAACCTAATACAATTTCCTTTGTATTCAGGTGTTTGTTACTTGAAGGCGGTGAGGTGCTTTCCTCTGTCACTTCTGTTGACAGTAACGGTAGCAGTTTTTGGAAACGTTTACTTGTCTGCGACTTGAGCATGTTGGTTAAGCAGATCTCAAGGACTGAATATAGGAATGAGCAGTTGTTACAAGTAATTGAGCATCATCTAGCACTCAAAATCTGGCGTATGTTTTAACAGGTATGGTTGCGATCTACAAAATCTATAATACCGCACTACATTGACGTTATGGTGTGTGACAGTGGCAATGGCTTCAAAATTGTTTGCCTTTTCGAGACCAAGCACGACACATTGATCAGAACGATCACTGCATTTTTAATGCAATTAGATCGAATCCAGTACTCGGAGGATCTTATGAGGTAAGCAGTTTACATGTTTCTGATTGAAATTTTCAATTTGTAAAGTGATTTCGCTGTTCTCGAACAGCCACACTTCGCTAGACAATGCTTCATGGAAGATGTTGATAACATTCGACGCAACTCTTTCCAGAATTACCTTTTCCATTAGAAGTTGGAACCAACTTTTTTCAAAAAAGTTTAGTTTCCAAGTGGGTAGCGCCACCACGTCCAAATCCAACCATCTTTGGTCTTTATAACAGTCTTCGGCAAAGATTATAGTGGAGTTTGGACAGGGCTCGGCACGAGCTGGCACCAGGAAATTTTCAAAACGAAGTCTCCCTTGACTTTTGGGAATTTTTACGAAGTCCCCTTTGATCCTCAACGATATCCCCTCTAGAATCCTAAAAAACCCCCCAAAAACGAAACGCCGACTAAAAAAAAGGTCGCCGTCGCCAATTTTGCGTATATCTTCGCCCACAAAAACGAAACCCCCTTTGCTTTTTGCCCCAAAAACGATATCCAGCTTGCCCCGTGCCAGCTGGTGCCAGGCCCTGAGTTTGGGCAGATCAAAGACTTGTGTGCAGTTACCTACTATTTACTCATTGGAGAATGATTTTTGCGTATTCGCTGTGAGTTGATGAAAAATGCTAATCTCGTCGCATTTGGTCCCCATCCATCTGTACTTGTAACATACTCCTTCGGAGACACATACAATTTAAAAAATTAGCAAACTTGACGGCAAAAGCCATAGGTTGCAGACCGGTGATTTTTGAGAGCTCTTGGTTGCACTGCAATATGAACATAATCTTTTAAATGGATGAAAAGCTGTATCGAGAGCCAAAGCCTTACAAATTTTTGTGGTGCTAAATGTCGCGCATTTTAAGGAAAACAAAATCACTTACGCGACGATCTAATTATGAAAATAATTTTTTGTATTCCTCTAAAAATTCAAATCAGCACTGTGTGAACGCTCCCTGACTCCGGGTAACTTGTTTTTGCTTGAGATTAATTGGAAACTTTTAGTTTTTTGACAGACAATTTAGCTGTGTAAAAAAAAAACTTTTCGGAGAACGCTTTACAAAAATTTTAAACCATCCCAAAATTTCCCTCTAACCAAATAATTCCTCCCTGGAAAGTCTTTGGGATGTTTCCACGATTTCACCGTGACTGTAATCCTACGATGGAAGAAGAGAATTTCTAACAAGGAAATTGGAAAATTTTTTCTTGTTTGGAATTCTGAAAAACTTCAATACTTATCTCACTTATCTACAATTACTGTCAAGTCATCTACACGATATTATAACTTGGTGCTTTCCAATCTTTTCGCCTGCCTATGACCTTGATTGAAAAAAAGAGACACTCGAAAATTTTTTACAAAGCATTGAAGAGAAACGCGGGAGATAGGACGAACTGTGGAAAGTATTGCACAACAGCTGCTGTCGTTTTCGTCGAGCGTCACTTCTAAGAGAAACTCCGAAGGAGGCTATCTTAAAAATCCGGAAAGAACTGCTTACTTTTTCGAGGTGAGTTGTTGTATGCCCTGTGGATACCGAAGTCATTCGGTTGGACTTTAGTCGCTTTGGCAAAGAACTGAAGATCTACTGCTATCGTCGAGCGGCAGCTACACCTACGATCCGCATCGACCTAGGAGTTCCACTAATATCTCAAGTGCATCGCAGAAATCAGCGCTTTCGTCGATGTCTCTGAATTCTTCCTTACCTTCACATGCAACGGGCAAGAAATTCGTAAGATATTATAAGCCTTCTATCGTAGCAATGGTCATGAATTGATTGTATTCAGAAATACTCTCTAAAATGCGAAATAACTGTGGAGTACTTCCGCCGACACGCTATAACCATTTTGCAAGAACTGTGTATGGGCTATCATCGACTGAGTGCCCCTCAAAGGCTAGCCCAATTTCGAAAAACCGTATCGCGTGTTTTTGACAGGAAGGAGGGTTCCGCATGGTCTGCCATGCAGCTAGGTGTGTAAATGTTAAAATATGGCGCAGAGATCGAGAATTCGTAATTCAGTGCTTTCGGCGGAGAACTGTGGCGTGCGACTCAACTTCATGAGCCCTGTGAGCTTTGGACTGGACATGGTGGCTTATTCGGTTACACATCCAGCAAAGTCCATCTCAGTGACTTACACTCCAGGTACTTCGTAGGTGCACCACTTCTTACTTAAAAACGTTGTTGTAGAATGGGTGAAAAATGATTTCGACGCTCCTACGAAGTTACCAAGTTGCAGTAGCTGCGTGAGCCTTGTTGATAGGTCCGGGAAACGCTACAGTCTGGTGAAGGTGAGGAAGAAATTTCAAGTTACACCCCCAATTTTCTTTTGTGATACAATTTTCGGCAAGTCGCTTACAATATTGGTAACTCAGTTAAGTAATTAGTTTAGGCTAAGAGGCAACGAAAGCCACACATATCCTGGGCAAAAATGGTCAAAGGCTTTCGAAAATACATCAGAGGTGCCAATGGAGAATGTGAAAATTACTTTTATGCCATCGCGCTGTTCGAGGAGGGGATCAATGGCGAACTTATACAGAAGGAAATGACAAAATTAATAGAAATCGTCTCTTCAAAAATGTACTCCGTATCACATTTTATTGATTAAGCATGTGTTTACATATAAGCTCGTGTATGCATGTCTTTCAGTCGTGATTACAAAATTGAACATAAATCTGGCTTCATGATGACGAACGCAGATAGCACACTTGGCTTTATCTTAGAAATAGATGTGAAGAACGGAGAACGTTGGCAGAAGAATCCTGTTCAAAATTATTTGGTAAAAGCTCCAAGTTACAAGAAAATAACTGGATTGATCACAAAAGGTTGTAATGGATAACAATTTCTTCATTCAAAAGAATCGTACATAGAAGCCTGCGCGACAAGTGTCTGCAATGGTTCTTCTTTTTTCGTACAAGCATCAGTGTGAGTGCTGCAGAAAATTGACATCAACTCCGACAGAAGAAAATCATTAAAGAACACATTGTTTGCCATAAGAGCGCAGGCAAAGCCCGATGCGATCACTTCTCTGTGTACTGTAACCTTTGATTCAACTGGCTTGGCTTCGGGAAGGCGGGGCTTTCTGACGTGATTTAGGCCGCTTGCAGACGCGATGCACCTGTGTCTCTCTCGTGCGGGTGCTCTCTGGTCACTAGCCTTCAATCAACTCACGGAGCCCCGCCTTCCCGAACCAAGCCAATTGAATTAAATGGTAGATTTTGCAACTAGATGCTCGCAGATTCAGTAGCAGGAGTTACGGTAACACGATGAAGAGCTGGCAGGCAAAGACTAGATCGTAAAGCGGTCAAGCTGGAAGCGAGGCGGGGCTCGCGCCGCGAGTGGCAGCCGCAGCTTCGACGGGAGTGTACCATAACCCGATACAGATGTGCGACGCGACTTCGGCAAGTTGGCGGCAGCCAACATCCACCTCCCTGAAACGCAAATGCGATAGGAGTGGTGAGTTTTTTATTTTGTCAAAATCATCTCGAAATTGCTCTTCTTCAACCAACATCCATCGACTATGCAAGAGTAGTATTGTATTAGAGTGTCTCACAATTTTTTATCGCTTTTAACACAAGGATTAGCATTTCTTGAGAACGGGGGCACCTACAAAGGGTACAAATACATGATCGTACTTCTGTATGTCTGAGCTATATGTTCGCATGCGTGGGAGAAGCTTACGACTAGGGGGGGGGGGAGATGCTATTACTCCATTCATTTTTTTCTCTATTTCTAGCCATGGAAAAAATTCGAAAAGTGTACAGTTGAATGTTCGATGTATCAAGAAGAAGCTAGCATAATGGGGTTTTTGAGATTTTTTGGAATGAAGTTAAGATTTTTGACGGTGAAGTTCGTTTTCGACTGCTATCAGATTTCAGCTCGAAACTTCACCTAATATTGGGCAAAATCTTCATAGCCATTTTGTAGAGCTTGCTTTGCCCTATCGAATGATTACTCAAGCTACATCAGTTGAAGGAAAGATACAAAAAGACGACGGTTGCAGCAAAAACGGTTAAAAAAATTATCATACACTTCATTAATTATGGGCGCCTCATCATTTACAAGGAAGGGTCACTTGGTCGAAGTGGAGATGAGCAGGGTGCTGCAAATCAACTAGTAGATAAAAAGCTGATTTTAAACTTACGTTTCATTCTGAGTAAGCTCTGCCTGAAAAGAGCCATGGCCTTTTCTTTTGCCTAATATTTGTGCATACAGTTGCACAATAAGTGCTGGTCTCCACAAAGAAGTATGCAGAATTGGGCAAATCACCTAATACAGGACGCCTCAAAAATGTATTGAACGTTTGATAGCTAAGAACCCTCTTGTTTAAACAGCTTTCATGAATTTTTAGGTGCCACGCGGACGTGCTCCAACTTCTTAGATATCCATTAGCTTAAACAAGTAACAGCGGTATTTTCAATAGTCATCGGAAATCCGATCACGTCATCTAAACCGCTATACAAATATGTACAATATTTTTACTGTTATAGAACCATCGGAAAAATTCTTTTCACATTTTCTGACAGCTGATCCGCAATGAACGACATCGTGCTCCCAATTCCCTCCATAATGCTAAACTTTTGAGAAGAGATCTTGTGCTGTAACTCTAAGTTGAAGTACCTCTACAGTATGCTAACTAAATATCCGCGAAAGCTGTTCAGACAAGAACATTATAGTCAATCAAGCGTTCGATATCCTTTTTTTGAGACATACTGTATCATACGAGTAGTTTGACGTCATCTAAACGTTTTCGAATATTTTCTGACTTTGCTAATGTCCACAGTCGTCATTTCCTTTGTGAGCCTCACTTCACTGTAGATACAAGAAAGTTCATGGCTTCCTCTTGCGGAAATCGGTGCAGCACATTCCGAAAATGAGTTCCTCTAAATGACCTACCCTTGTAAACTAGATGCAGGCAATGCCAAGCATAAGGTTAAGGGCATACTTCTCGCGATTCCAGTGGCTGTGCGATTTCAGACTGCAACGGCTCCTCATAATCGCATGGCCAGACTTCATGCTTTTGCGACAACATACAGAACCTAAGAGCTTATGCATTTGAGATCCGCGTAAGGTAAATCTGTAAACATCTGGCAAATCTCCAAGTCGCGAAGATGTAGCGATGTGACGAAATCGTGGGAGGTATGCCTTAGTCATTTTCCTCGGACTGTTGAGTTACCACTTTTAAATAGACACTCTGGCTTTGGATTTGATACTTCTACATCGCCTGTATTTGTAGAAGCTTGAGCCACTCCTAATTGCTGCGACCACATCCTGCTGTATATGGCTTTATATTTGCTACTTCTACATCGTCTGTATTTGTGGAATCTTGTCTTGACAAATGCCATTGATGCCCGATGTTTAGCTAAATTGTCGTTTGCAACTTTTAGATACATTATAGCTGATAGTTCGGAAATTTAGTGAATGGTACCATTCGCACTGCCTCCACCGTGGCCAAAAACAGCTGAACATAACCAATTGCCATTTTTTGGGTATCATCCTCTCAACACAATTCACACACTAATTTGCGTTTCCACTTAATTTGGATGAAACTTGCCTATCAAGCCCTGAACTCTCACATTCTGGCGTCTTGTTCTGTATAGAGTATCAAAGCATTGCGCTGCGTTAAACTCGTCATGACAGGGTAAATGATGTCTTTACAATAAGGTCCTAACTTCGAAACCCACCTTCAACGAAATCTTTATGGAGAGCTTGTTAAGGTAAACAACTACAAGCGCTGTGACCAGTGATACGATGGAAAATCTAGTTTTTTTCCTCTCAGTTCGTCAGGCTTTCAAAACTGGTTTCGGGATGATCCCAAAGAAATTGATCAGCTCTATTAGAGTCTAATTTTACATTCCAATTTTTTAAGTTTGCAGAGTCTCCCAATGCAGCACTCAAAAGAAGGTTTCGCACAAATTTCACGGAAGCACAGTCATTGTTGTTGGAGGAAGCGTTTCAAGAATCACATTACCCAGATCAAACTGCAAAGAAAGATATGGCGGAGAAATTAGATATTCCTGAGGACAGAATTACGGTATGATTTACATTATGTCTAATTGATAGCTTGTTACGAGACATCACAACTTTGAAAATACTATCAAGGTCTCTCCACAGTGAAGTCTTTTGCTATCTAAGCGACTTCATTTGTTGTCACAAATGCCTGATACCATTCGGACGTAGGTCTTCTTTATAGCTATTAGGGTCGCACTGAGCAAGTCCAACAATGGACATGATACTGACTTTGTGATTCGGACATTCCATAGTTCTTCCTGTAGCCGTCTTCGGCATGGACTATTACTATATTCAAGTCGCACCCGAGTCTGCCAGAGGGATGTGGAAGCGGTGGACATGTGCTAACGGATACGGTATATTTGCCAGATGTTCGAGGCGAGAGTCGAGATTAACGATCGAACAAATCGTACAACAAGTGGTTGTGTTGCGAACGTCTGTCAGAGAGCATTCCGGAAACATAATACCACAAAATGTTAAGGAATTCTAGTATGTTGAAAATGGACAAGACATAATGCGTACATTTGATAGGATGAAGGCACGCAATATTCATTCATCATAGTGAACACATCATTGCTTAATTACCCTAATTTCGAGAAGAACAAAGCGCACTTTTTCTTTTTCAAGCGAGCAGCCCAGCCGCACCACTTTGCCTCTTGCAATGGTAGCTCTCCTACGCTAATCTAAGAAAGAAGCAGTACGGTAGTGTACTTTAGTCGCGAATTTTTTGGTGTTCAGGGAGGGGGGAGGGAGAGGGAGAGGGGGTCGAAGATTAGAATAAAGAACAAGTGCGTCTTGTACTAAATTAGGGTACATAACTTGCCTTATCATGTATGATTGTATGAGCCACGATTCAAATCATGCAGAAAAATTGCTTACACAACACTATTTTGCTGAGGGAGCTTGCTTGGTAGGTGGCGTACATCTCTTCTTAGTTGTCATTGAAAGTTTGTATACGTCACCAAAGTTTTTGATAGAAATATATCTTTTTACGAGAATTTTATTAGGTTGGTGCAAAAATAATGAGCGTTATTCAATTTTTCACTTTAAGTTGCTATAACTTTCTACAAAATCTACATTCTGAAATGTGATAAAGACCATCAGATGCAGCGAACCTTTTGCAGTACAGCGCATATTGACCTATACTCATATCTCATATGGGCAGAAAAATAAGGATTGAAAAACAAAAAAATTTTTTTCTAAAGTTTTGTTTTTGATAAGACATAACTCCTTTCATACTTTGTTGTTACCATTTATAACCAGCCTATCTTGTAGCCACAAGCCAGTAGTACAAACATACATGGAAATGGTTTGGAGAAAAAAGATTAGCGAAGAGGGAAAAATCGAAATTCAAAAATATCAACTTTTTTAGCATTTTTTCAGTAAACCTCAAAACCCCGAAGTATAAAATTTTCTAATTTTCTGCTACTGAACACCTGGATGTTTTTGTAAAAACTGCTAATAGGACTCCCACCCTCACGCTTACAGAGATGAGCAATGTTGGAGCGACTGCATTCTACAAAAGAAAGTTATGGGCTCTAAAATAACCATAACCATTACCCATGTTAAGCCGCCGATATCTCACTTCAGATAGCTTCAAAAAATATGTTAAATATGCATAATGTAGACAACTTCCATCTCATATAGCGGCTAAATTTTCGATAAACCACCTTCATTCGCGCTCAAATTCTGGCCAGAAAAATGAATGCAACGAAAATCCAATTTTGAGTGCGATTATGTGAAGCTCTATAAATTCTTAACAGAGTGGGCTAGAAGTTCCTTTCGAACATCATCAGATAGAGCATGAAAAGAGCTTTCTAACAATGTGTTGAAACTGTTATTTCAGGCCTCCTTGATTTCCAGGTTCAGAAATATCGTAAAATCCCATGAAAAATGTAGAATTCGACCGGGACGTCGGTGTGTACCGCGCACTATTAGGTGGGTCCGAAAGTTCGTGCCTTTTTTGAGCTGTCCTTAGGTCACTCAGAAAAAATATAGACAAACACCCTAAAAAGTGTCCTATGCAAAATTTCTTCTTCTTTCCGCCAGTTATGTTTTTGTTTGGATTACTATGATGTGCGCTTGAAAATCGTCAGAATCTTCAATCCACGGTTTTTACCTACCCAGACTGCTGTTTTTCAAAAAAGCTACTCCGCAAATACGATATTCCCTTTGCTTTTCCCCCAAAAACGACATCCAGCGTGTAGTAAGCCATTTTTGCCGTGCCTTGACATGGAAGGAATCCGAACAAAACCATCACTGCTGAAAGGAGAAAGAAATTCTGCATAGTGCAACGCTTAGAGCGTAAGTCTCTCGTTATTCTAAATGATTCAAGGATATGTTCAAAAAATGGCACGAACTTTTGGACTCACCTAATGTTTTTTGAAGCTTTCATAAAATTTGCTCAATCTGGAGTGAAGCAAATAACTTGCTGATCTTGTCCAATACCTTTCTCCGATCAAAAGTATGCTTCTTTTTTGATTTGTGTTCGTCTCAAACTTCAAAAAAGTTATTTGTGCTTCGTCTAAATTTATAACCTAGACTAGGAAGCAAAAGACTTTTCCAAACTGTAGACTACTTTTTAATCATAGCGCGGTTTTTCTCTTATAGATTCTATTTTGCCTTCGAACAACCATTTTAAGGTCTGCAAAGTGCCACTCTCGTCGACCTGAAGATTCTGAGAATTTCCAGGACTTTTAACATGCTCCAAACAGAGTGTGTGGAAGTAATGCCTCCCCAGGGAGCTCACAGAGATAGCGAGTATGAGTGTAACTACGGACACTGCAAGTTACAATCATACTCGCTATATCGTGATCACACTATTTTCGGATCTTTCGGATTTTCCTTCGGGTTCCCAACATTCCCGCACCCCGCCTCCTGAGTGTAGTGGCGTTTACGCAAACTTTTACATTTTTCTTAGGAAAAAACTAGTAGAGGAATACATTTGCTTTAGGTATGGTTTCAAAATCGACGAGCAAAATGGAGACGCAAGGAGTTGAGAGAAAAAGTTAGTTTACTTACCTATCGACTTTGTTTTTGTGCGCGAAGATAGCTCAACTTGCTATCCAGAGCGCCAACTGCAGTAAGTAAGCCGGAAGACCGTGGCACAAATTGAATTACATAATCAATTACGACCAAAAAATACATTTAGCCGGACAACTCGTGAAGTACTTTAAGGAAAACCACTGTATGCATTACACTGCTAAAGGCTACTGTCGAACGGAGGCGCAAAACCAATATCAGTTGAGCGAATGCGGCGCGGGTGTATCTTCAATGGCATACCGTGCGCCCACTGCGCTCTGCGGCCAAAAATCGCATCCGCGCTCAATTTTCGTTTGGCAGTAGCCTTTAGACGTGTCTTGGGACTACACACATTAGTGCATGTGCTTTGCTAGTCACAGAGGACCGCTGTGTATAGGTGATCCATCGCACGCGACTGACGCCGTCGCGTCTGACTAAGGCAGTCGTGCATGGGAGGCACAGCAGACTGAGAGGGACGAAGCGCTCGAGAGAGGCGTCGACAGCGTCCGTCGTGCGATGATTCGCCTATATATACACCGAAAATCAGTTGCAAAGCATTCCTTCTTGGTAAGGATGGCAAAGAGCAACACTGTAATTGTCTTCACATAAATTTTCTGCGGGAGACTTCACAGAGCATTTTCAGGAAAAGAATCGCTATGATCAGTTTGTCTCCAATGCGTACTTCTTTGATACAAATCATCGCTATGTGGAATGTGGAACAAACTACAATTTCAACAGACCAATCTCTTCAGACCAACAACAACCCTCAACAAACTGTCAACTGTTCATGTCAACATCATGCACTCAGTTGTAGTCACTGGGGCAGATATTTATTGAGCTTAGGTTTGTTGCGGCCTTGATAGCATTTTCTTACCGAACTGCACTGGAACATTCAATATATCGCTTTATTATCTGTAATTTCGTAGACAAATCGTTGTATTCATATGCGTTGAGTAAAGGGATTGGTGAGATCACACGAAGACCAATACATGGACTGCTAGCACACGAGAAGACAAGAATTGCGAGAAGCAGTGCTAGTTAGCCTTATCTTGCAAGGGCGAGAAAAATTTGTTACAGATAATTTTGCTTGTATACCAATCTTTGCGAGAATCTTCGGCAAGGTGACACCCGTAAAAACTACCAACTTGAATCACAAGGAATACCGAACAAATACGTGCGATACAGACTTTGAAGACATAACAGAACCTCCACAAGGAGACAAAGGAAAGATGTACATACGAAAGGCATTCATTTGGCTGAATTATCAGTCGGCGTCATCCGGTGAGCAAGGTCGACGCGCCGTGGACACGGAAAAGATTTGTGACTCAGGAACAACCTTAAAAAACGCAACTAAGGTTAGAAATGAGCGATTTTGTTTACTGGATTTTGTGCTAGTTCATGCTGCACTCGGAAAAAAGTCGGTAAAATACGCTCCTCGCAACGTAACAAGCTTAAACGCTGCCATCCTTTATGGTAAACCAGTCCGAAGCGCCGCTTCGCGGCGCTCCGGACTGGCTGTGTGTGTGAAGTGGGATATGACTCTCAAAGTTATAGCGTGGAAACCTTTTCTCCTCCAAAAGTATGGCGATTTCTCAGACACTTAACGAATTCGGAGATCATCAAAGTTAAATGTCAGGATCTCCTGCTTCAAATGGTTTCCCAAGTTACATCATTAACCAAAGTGATGAATTGATCGCTTCCTCTCAGCTTTCTTTGCAACTCGCGTTCTATTGTCATTCCTGAGTTCTGAGCCAAACTGCCCCCCCCCCCCCCCAACTCGTTTTCATCCAAATGTTTCCTTTATAAACCGCCGAAACTACCGATCTTTTCTCGCATTTTCAAATCCTTTTGATCTTACTTAATCGCTTTCGAATCTAGCTCCAAAGATGATGTTGAGAAAATGCGCCACCTTACACCTTTAAAATCTGTGCACCGAATCAGGCCAAAATTGATGTGATGAGCTGCGCAACGCAAAGATTCTGCATCATGTCTGCGGCGTTAGGACTTGTCCATTCCCACTTTCACTGAACCCTCCTGCCATGCGAAATGCAGCGCAAGCCCTAAGCGTTGGTGTGCGGTTTTGAGCCAAAGTTTCAGCGTTATCACCATAAACTATAGCTGCCAAAGTTGCGCTCATTCCCACATTTGCGAAAATCCTCGGATACTCTCAAATTTTCACATCCTAAAGTTTTCTGACCAAAGTGGCCGTCACAAACCCGGCAAGCTTTTCCCAGCTATGTACATTTTCATGGCTGTTTTCACCCGGGGCTCTGCTCTCCTCATCGACTGTCCCTACGAACTACCTTAGAAGGCCCATATGAAAAGCTGGGGTGAAGTAAGCGACGTCCCTTGTCACAAAAGGGCCGCGGGCGAACACTGCTATGGCTTTTCATCATTGGGGACGCCGCTTCTTTTTTTGCCACTGGGAGGATTTTCATGCATATGGGCCTCAAAGTAACTCTTTGCGAGATTTCAGCAAGAGGAGGATTCAACTCAGCGCACTTGAATGCATTTAGCCAAAATTCTAACTTACTATTATGTAATTTCCTAAATGAAAGAACCTCCCTTCCGCCTCACGAAATATGCTTAAAAAAATTCTAATGCCAGGGCTCGCGTTCGCGTCTTATATGGGCTTTCCAAATTGTTCAACAATCTGGAAAGCCTTCCATATAAGACGCCCATTTAGGACTATAAATTCCACCCGAAATGCTCTAAAGCGCACTTATTTTCCAACTCATCTTGGTAGGCTATTGACTCGAATTCCGTAAAGAGAGCTAGTATTGAAGCGTATATCCAATTTAAGCTGTTCATTCAAGCAAATCACCGTGTCTATACGATTTTGAGGTAGTGCAATGTTCTGACAAAATTGCACTAAAAAGCTACATGTTCCTGAGGTTAGCAAGAGTTGAGTTGATGGTTAGTGAAGCGTCCCTTTCTTTCCATCTCTTTTGTTCACAATTGGTATATTGATAGCAGACAGACAGCGTGTAGCTCTTTTCAAAACTTCTCTCACGATCACAGTAACTTTTACAGTTTTTTTGAAATTTTCAGTCTTTGGATTAATTTAAAATCTTGAGATGAAGTGTTCTCTTAGAACCTGCGTTGCTTGCCAAGTGAGCTTTTTGCAAAACGTTTAGTGTTTCGGCAATTCGCATCACCATGTTTTTTTATCACTTAGTGGATAACAATTTGGAAAGTTCGCACAGTATTGATGTTTAACTATTTTCTCAAATAGGTTCGATTTTCACAGTGAGTTTAAGGAATTTTTCACGTGAAGATATGTTCAGCATGCTTCATTCGCTTCTTTTGCTTCATTCTTGTGGAAGCGTTTTCTCAAAGTAAAATTGGAAAATTTTTAATGAGATACGTTTGGTAATGAAGACAAAAATGGAATGGTGCACAATAGGAAAATGGACAATGAGTGATATGATTTTGCTTGATTTTAAGGGAAGTTCAATTTTGAGATTTGTTTTTGCATGTAGATACGTTTAGTGGTAAAAACATGATTATGTGGTGCACTGATTAAGAAAGAATTGAGGAGATGTAATGCAGATATCAATGTTAAGTATTATCACCGACCTGAAGATGCTATCCGACGTTTGCTTATTTTCACAAATGAATAAAGCAAAATGTAAGGCGGTTGAAATAAACGACCGCTAACAGCGTTGTAGGCGACGGAATTGGGGTTGCATTTAGCTTGACGTCGTGATAAACATCAAGGAAGCAGACGGAACACGAAGATGGCACAAAACATCATACCATTGATGACCTCATAGGTTGCACTTAGGTTGAGTCGTAACGGTAAACAGTATGGAAGCGAGCGAAAGTGCAAGAATTAACTCAGAGATCTGGGCAAACATTCTTCGCCGGTTGTTGACGTCGGATGGTCCCCCCTGCGCTTTATTATAGGGTATGATAGTTTTCCAACTCATCTTGGTAGGCTATTGACTCGAATTCCGTAAAGAGAGCTAGTATTGAAGCGTATATCCAATTTAAGCTGTTCATTCAAGCAAATCACCGTGTCTATACGATTTTGAGGTAGTGCAATGTTCTGACAAAATTGCACTAAAAAGCTACATGTTCCTGAGGTTAGCAAGAGTTGAGTTGATGGTTAGTGAAGCGTCCCTTTCTTTCCATCTCTTTTGTTCACAATTGGTATATTGATAGCAGACAGACAGCGTGTAGCTCTTTTCAAAACTTCTCTCGCGATCACAGTAACTTTTACAGTTTTTTTGAAATTTTCAGTCTTTGGATTAATTTAAAATCTTGAGATGAAGTGTTCTCTTAGAACCTGCGTTGCTTGCCAAGTGAGCTTTTTGCAAAACGTTTAGTGTTTCGGCAATTCGCATCACCATGTTTTTTTATCACTTAGTGGATAACAATTTGGAAAGTTCGCACAGTATTGATGTTTAACTATTTTCTCAAATAGGTTCGATTTTCACAGTGAGTTTAAGGAATTTTTCACGTGAAGATATGTTCAGCATGCTTCATTCGCTTCTTTTGCTTCATTCTTGTGGAAGCGTTTTCTCAAAGTAAAATTGGAAAATTTTTAATGAGATACGTTTGGTAATGAAGACAAAAATGGAATGGTGCACAATAGGAAAATGGACAATGAGTGATATGATTTTGCTTGATTTTTAAGGGAAGGTTCAATTTTGAGATTTGTTTTTGCATGTAGATACGTTTAGTGGTAAAAACATGATTATGTGGTGCACTGATTAAGAAAGAATTGAGGAGATGTAATGCAGATATCAATGTTAAGTATTATCACCGACCTGAAGATGCTATCCGACGTTTGCTTATTTTCACAAATGAATAAAGCAAAATGTAAGGCGGTTGAAATAAACGACCGCTAACAGCGTTGTAGGCGACGGAATTGGGGTTGCATTTAGCTTGACGTCGTGATAAACATCAAGGAAGCAGACGGAACACGAAGATGGCACAAAACATCATACCATTGATGACCTCATAGGTTGCACTTAGGTTGAGTCGTAACGGTAAACAGTATGGAAGCGAGCGAAAGTGCAAGAATTAACTCAGAGATCTGGGCAAACATTCTTCGCCGGTTGTTGACGTCGGATGGTCCCCCCTGCGCTTTATTATAGGGTATGATACAGTTGCGCGATTCCATATTCGACATTAATCATCCGCCAAATTTACAAATATGATATTGAGTATGTGAAACTGACCTGATTCAATGGTGTGGTTTCTTGTGGAACTTTTTTTGTACCATTCAGTTCTTCCATTGGCACCCCATGCTTGGTTACATTTCTATTTTCCGGCACGTACGTTCTCTCCGTTTCAAACCGTTGTCGAGGCCTAGGAAATTGCCATATCCCACAATTACAATTTGCTAACAGCTTACTCACTTGAAGAACTCCAGAGGAACTTTGGATAGCTGTCTTTTTACTGCGTTCTGGACTTCGCTATTCAAAAAGCAGTAGAGAACAGAGATAAATATGCCCTGAAAGCAAAGTTGAATGGAAAAGTGCTCGTTGAATTGTTATTCGCAAGCCCAAGCACTTAGTAGTCCGCCGCCAATGGTGCTGTTCATCAAAATAGATCCTTTCTTAATCTCTGGATTAGAGGCAAACACTATTCGCAGTTGCATCCACTTTACTGATCGCTTAGATGTTTCCGCCTGTTTCATCTCACGACTTTGGCGACGAAGAAAGGAAAGAAAGTGACTATGCAATCAGGAGAATCTTTTCTATAAATCCTAACATTAAAAATGACCTGTGAATTCTGGAAAATTGCAGATCCTAGCATGTAAACTGCACTTGGTTGTTCTGGCTCGTAAAACAGTGGAATATTCGATATCCCAAGCAGCGGGACCAGCAACAACGTAGCTTTGATTGTTCGCCTGCATGATACGTAATAATGGTCATCTATTTTCACAAGTAAATGTATCTGAAGAAGTTTACCATATTTTTCTGGATTCAGCTGAGTTTTCCGTTCGCAACTTTTGTACCAGGATAATCACTATTCCAAGAAGGAACAAAAAATTCATCTAAAAATGCTAACATTGGTTATCACAAATCTAACAATGGCCAACAATTTGTGTCACTTCCTTAAGGAAGTACCAAAAGTCACAAAGTCACTGGTGGTAAGATGTCGTGCTATTAACCTTACTTTGCATGTTTCAGCATTTTCAGGACTGTGGAGAAAGTAAGAATAACTTACTATAAATGCAAAACCCATTGTTCCAGAAAGGATCCAAAGATGATTTCCTTGAGCATAAGGAACCCAACAAAAAGAATTTTGTTGTCGAGACTTGTACTCGTGCACCACAGTCCAACATATCACAACAGTGAGAGGAACACCTATAATAGTTTAGAAGCAGCCACATTTTCAGTGTTCCAGGTTAGAAAATGACTATGATAGTGACTTTTATTTGAATCAACAGAAGACTCCTTTCTCTTGCGATGGATGTGCTCAAATGAAACTGCATAAATACCCGTTCTCGGCACATAAAAGATTCAGGACACATGCGGCATCGGGCGGGACTTTGGTACAGTGCCTTTCAAGAAGATAATAACTTTATCAACTCAAGCTCAACTTGCGATATTTGCTTAACGTTTTTAGATGAGCGTGTAACTGGAAAACTGCATCAAACTCGAAAATTCCCAATCTTCTCCAGTTTCGACACTTAGAGAGGGAAGATGTGCACATTTTAAGAATGCTCGAAGCAATATATTGTTTGCATTGCAAAAAAAAACACGAAATCGTGAAATTTTGAAATGGATCACACAAGACTAAAAGGTTCAACAAGGTTAATAATGGGATTTATTACTTGAAAAGTCCTGTTTCGCCTCTTGCCTTTAAACAGCATATATATATTAGGTTGGTGCAAAAATAATGAGCGTTTTCCTAGTACTTTTTTCAGGACAACTTTTCTCCATCAAACGTCTTTCTTTTTAACGGTTGTAGCATATTGTTAGAAAGCTCTTCATGCTCTATCTGATGATGTTCGAAAGGAACTTCTAGCCCACTCTGTTAGGAAGTTATAGAGTTTCACATAATCGCACTCAAAATTGGATTTTCGTTGCATTCATTTTTCTGGCCAGAATTCGAGCGCGAATGAAGGTGGTTTATCGAAAATTCAGCCGCTATATGTAAGTCTACATTATGCATATCCAACCATATTTTTTCAAGTTATCTAAAGTGAGATATCGGCGGCTCAACATGGGTACTGGTTGTGGTCATTTTAGAGCCCATAACTTTCTTTTGTAAAATGCAGTCGCTCAAACTTTGCTCATCTCTGTAAGCGTGAGGGTAGAGGTCCCATTAGCGGTTTTTGCAAAAACATGCAGCTTTTCAGTACCCAAAAAATTAAAAAATTCTCTACTTCGGGGTTTTGAGGCCTGAAAAAATGCTAAAAAAGTTGATATTTTGAATTTCGACTTTTCCCTCTTCGCTAATGTTTTTTCTCCAAGCCATTTCCATGTATATTTGTACTAGTGGCTTGCGACTACAAGATAGGCTGCTTATAAATCATAAGAACAAAATTTAAAAGGAGTTATGTTCTGTCAAAAACAAGACTTCAGAAAAAAACTCTTTTTGTTTTTCAATCCATATTTTTCTGCCCATATGAGATATGAGCATAGTTCAATGTGCGCTATACTGCGAAAGGTTCGCTGCATCTGATGGTCTTCATCACATTTCAAAATGTAGATTTTGTAGAAAGTTATAGCAAGTTAAAGTGAAAAATGGGAAAACGCTCATTATTTTTGCACCAACCTAATATTTTGCGTGAAACTTTGATTCTTATTTTATCTACTCTCAACGATAAAGACTTTGTGCTGCATGAAGGTATTAACAACTTGTGATTACCTGCTTTCAAGTTCTTTTTTTGCTCAAATTAACTTCAGATTATACCGTGTGTCCCAAAGTAAGTATACACTACTTTATCGTTGATGATTCCCTTTCCATTTTTTGCTTAGCTTTAAATATCATTCAGTAGAGCAGGCTTCAACATAGCTATGCGGCATGGAGCGAACCACTCGTCGCTCTTCATTACCGTAAAATTACGGTAGGAAGCTTCCAGCATGCAGCGCCATTGCGATACGCCGTTTGAGAAAAAAGTTCCAAATCTGGAAAGTTGTGCTAGCAGTCTTTTCGGACATGCTGATTTCATAAGACAACTTTTACGAGTTTAGGTGTAGGAAATGGTTTAACCACATTGTTAAGAACAATGAACGTTGTTGCGTTCTTAGCACGACCTATGAAAAAAGCCTTACGGCAAAATGCGAATTCAGCGTAATGACATAGTTTTCGGCTCGTTGAGTATCTATTCTGGGGCAATATGTTGACAGTTGATGGCTTGAAACCCTCTTCAAGATTCTTACCGTAATCCTACAATAATGAGGCCGGTGGTTGAATCGCACCATACATTGAATCTAAGCCATTGCCTGCTCCACCGAATGTACTTGGAGCTAAGCAAAAGATTTTGTGGGAAGAGAGTCATTAACGATCAAAGAGTGTGTATTTAGACACCTTGCACGATAATATACTAATATACTATTACACATTATACATAAAACGAGTTTAGAAAGGTATTCCAGAGTGAAAGGATTTGTTTCAACCTAATCTGTCTAAGACCTGAATATGAATGAAAGTTTCACTGTGCAGTCGCATGAGGACCACTAAGATCGCGACCGCACCTTTAGGCACCGGTTATACCTCGCGCGACTTCGGTCCCCGCAAGATTCGGCATCCTCTCAATGGCTCGTAATTCTTTGTTAGCGCACTCTTAAACAAGACGACTCGCTTGCATCAATTCATGCAAGTTTTGCTCTGTGCATTCGAGTTCCGGAAGCAATGGAAAGAAGTCTTCACAAAAGAGGTGACTATCGAGTTACTCACCCCATCCGCATAACATATACAGAAACCAAGGAGCATCACTATGACGCATCGCGAAAACAGTGAATCGACTGTACAGATACGCTCCTTCGATTAACATCCATATCACAGAGGCTACCTTCAAGTAACCGACGTAAAAAACGGCAATACATAATCTATATATAAATAAAACTCAAACTCTGTAAATTTGTTAGTCAGTAAGTATACGGCTTATAGACTCTTTTGTTCGTGAACGGATGAGGCTGAAATTTGCTCCCCTTTGAAGAGGCACGGCGCAAAAGACTAGTTCACTTTTTGTGACGATTCACTGGGTGCTTCTATCGATTTATTGATTTGTTTACTTACATCTAGGATGAAAGCATTTCAACCATTTCTCCAAGTTAAGTAGTAAGGAAGGTAAAGATCACTTAAATTTTGCGGTGAGGAGGATGCGGTGCACGAAGCGAGGCTGTCAAAAAAGAAGGCAAAATTACCAGAATACCAGAGAAGCGGTGCAATTCAAACAGCTGAAGCAGGAAATGAAGAGAAGTAATTGGAATGAAATTTAGGAATGGTAAGCCATAAGACGATTTGGAACACTATGCCGGGTCAATTTAGACCCTCGGCCCGGACGGGACCGGGGATGCCAGCTAGAGGGCAATAAAAACGAAGCTGAAGTTGAGATAGGAGCTTGGTCATTTGTATAGTATGCAATCACAGCTGAGCGATTGCACTCTCATACCAAGTACTACTATCTGGATTTCGTTCGCAATTTTCAAAGAAAGTAGTTTCTTTGTATCAACAGCAGTATAAATAGTAAAAAAAAAGGTTTGAGATCGGAGAAGGTTATCTTCCTACACTGACATAATGGCAAGAACCAATTAACAGTGGTTCGAAGCGCTCACCTGGAAGTATATCACAAGCCAAAGAATTGTTTTACATATCCACTCCTATAAGAAGATAATGCAATATGGTCCCAGCAGGAAATCGACTTACCAGCTCCCAAAGAGGTTGCGGATTAAACGTAGTGCAGTCTTTGAAAAGATTGGTCGATTGTACAATGGTCCAGATAGCTAACAGAGCAAATCGAAAGACAAAAGCAGTAGCGAGGTTCTTGTGAATTGACAAGCGACGACACTGCAATATGAGGAATACCTGTCCAAATCTGATTATGAGTAAGAAGTGAATTTGCATAGGTGGCGGTTATTGTTTCATAATAGGTAAGACAGAAACCTCTAGCATATATTTATAGATGAACAATTATAAATTGCGTTAATTGAGGACAAAGGAAATGCTCTATATTGAGCACAAAGAATTTTAAGAAAAATAAAACTCACTTGAATAGAATCGAATATGGAGAAAAGTAATATAGCTGCAACTAGCAAGGTGACCGATACGATGGAGAGAGTTAAAGACACAGAGATTACAAGATCTCGAAGAAAGTCGGGGCACTGAAAATTTACAGGATATCCCCACCTTACCGAAGACAGAAGCAATTTGTTTAGGGCTGCGATGAAAAATCTCTTTTCAGTATAGATCTGTATAGACAAAAACCTTAAAAAGTAAGTAAATATTGTTAATGAATCAAAAGTGTACAAGACGAAGAGCCCTTAGATGACGACAGCGCATGAACATCAAAGCTTAGCTTGATCTTCACATGATCAGAAGTCTGATCAGATGCGCAAAATTTACAGCTCACCACTCGACAGAATCCTTGTATGCAGTGCTGGTATTCCTCAACTACCGTAATACACTGACTGTAATTTGAGTCTTGCCATTCACCATTGGATCCACATACTCGAGTCACCATATGGCTGTCTGAATGTATGAATATTTTTTATAATCAAACATTGTTGTTCAAGATAAATTAAGTATTGCATTGGACAAGAATTTTAAATAAGGATAGATGTAAGCTTATCTACCCTTTCTGGTCCCCTCTCGGGTAAAGTACAAACTTGAAAGGAGTCAACAAAATCGTTGCATTCCCTTGTCAAATGAAAGGCCTCCAAACGGCAAGCTTCGCTGTGAACGCATTTAGCACAACTGTACCCGAGGGAATGCTGCGGCTCACTCCCTACTTCCGTACTGAAGTCACCACATTCAAGTAGAAGGTTGAAAGTTTGTTTGAACATTTACCGATAGCAACAACGTTCTCCCATATAACATTAGCTAGCAGTTATGGTAATTTATGAAGATTTTCGCATACGCACTATACTTGCACAATTCTTTTGTATAGAACCAACAAAGCGGTAAGACTAAGATAAAACCTTTCAGGAGCTGAACATCGTAAACATGAAATGCGAGGATGTCATTTGAGCATCAATAGAATAGTTTGTCCATATAATGAAAATGCGACGTTATATAGTTTCGAATCATCTTTTTTCTTCGGTATTCAATGTTGCAAATCTTGCCAAGAATTCTCAACGACAAATTGCGTTTATTCGAGGGCAACAAATTACTTGCAGTTGTTTACGCACGAATGGATAGATTCGCCGACTCTCGACAAGTATACGAAACTCTCTCTGCTTGTGCAGCAAAAGGAAGTTCGCGTGGACACCCGCTTTCACTTTTCAATATAACTCTTCCCAAGTTCTAAACTAAACATCGTCAAGAAACCACTCACTTGCTACTAGCTCACATCCTGGCACTGAAGGACAATAAGTGAATGGACACAATCGCTCCACTTTTGCTCCGTAGTCAGCTTTCAACCAGCATAGAGATTTATCGAAACTCACAGAGCAACCACTGAAAAGACTTTCATATTAAATTCTCACTGATTCAAATCAGGCAGATTTAACTAACTTATCATTGATAGACTCGTTTTTTTGAGAAAGTGCGTAACAAGTCGATATCTCTGCTCGCACTACGGACATTTCTGTAAAAATTTTCCATCGACAGATCACATGAACTTTATGTAAACAAGGAGCAGCACAGTAAAAAAAAAGTCATGTATGTTTTGGGATAAATGACATGGGACTGTGACAATAGTCGGCATAAATTTTCCATGAAAGCGTGGCTTGTCAAAGGAAAAATGTGGATGCTTTGAGTGCTCGTTGAAACCTTGGCTGCAACTCAGAATAACGACAAGGAAGCTGCGCTGTCCTAGAAGATCTTGGTACGGGTTCGCGTTTATTAAAACAAAATGCTTCCAAAAATGACTGGACTGCTACAGTAATTGTGGAGGCCCAAGGTTGATGATAGCTTTGGTGACTGATTGGAAGTCAGATGCAAAATTTGGATGACTACAGAGAAAATCCGCTCTACAAAAGCTCGCACCGCTTTGCAGTTCATGAAAAAGTGGGCCTGGCTCAGTTCCTTGTTCATCTGCAAATGCAATCGCACTGATTTAAGATCTCTGAAAAGAATGTTGGAATTCTGCCAAGCAAATACTGCAGAGGTATGCGCATGTAATGAGATTGGAGAAATGAACGACAATTAGAGCAAAAATTTTCCAAAAGAAAAGAGGAGAGAAACTGGACAATGTGCAACACAAAACATCGGTATAGAATACTGCTTCCATTTCAGAGGCTAGCGAAGCCTACTTTTCGCAAACAGTCCACTCTACAGCTCATCTTTTGAGTGAAAGAATGCAAATGAAAGCAAATAGTCAGAAAGCTCGACAGCTGAACTTCCGCACAGGGACGCCTATGCAAACGCATAATCAATCTGTTCTCGGTAAGAGATTCTGCGATTAAGTGCCATCCGCCGAACCATAATTATCATCGCGAGAACTTCGAGCGTCACTTGGCTATAATTTGTAGGATCGATGGTGACAAGATGGAAAGAGAATTAGGCTTTGCACATTAATTTAATCCATGTTATGTCCACTTAAAGAGCGACGCTACTCCGTCGAGACGTAGTGCTAGTCCATGTTAAAAAAGAATCAAAGAATACAGGGTCGATGTGATAAAATGCAAAGAAATGAGAAGAAAACCATGTACTTCTTCGTTTTGTCAACAATAACTCCGATTGCAAGAGCAGAAATCTTACTGTGGAAAGAGTGCCGTCTCGCGAAAATGACCCATTTCGTTCTATATTGCTGAGAAATGCGTAAAATAAGAGTTTTCTCAATTTTTTCGACAACCTCGTAAACGCAGACTGCGCTTAGCACTAATTAGAGGCTATATCGGAAAAATAATATGATTGTCACTGAAGCTCGCAGACACTGACACCACCAGTGTGTGTTTCGAAGATTTTCACATAGCCGTTGTAGGATTAAACATGGAATTGCGTGCACAATATACTGTTCACAGAATGAAGAGCTATCCGTCAATGTGATAATTCGCTTTCTAAAACAGTAAAATCAAGCAAGATAAGCGTGAGAAGTTCTAGAAATGCAGTACGGCTTCAAAAATGAATGGCTTCCGATTATCAAAATAGCGACTAGCGCGTATGATAATCTACGAACCAAAGCGCACAGAAAATACCTGCCAAACCACTTAGCATTGCTCATTTGTTGATCTAGATTTGAGAATGGAACTCGTTACAGATTGATATGCAGACAGTGTCAATATTAACAGTCCTATAACTATCAAGATTTCAGTAGCTTCAGTGATTTCATTATGTGTTTTGTGAAGTTGTTCAGCAACGAATGTCTGTCACATAGAACTCACATGTCATCACTACTTCGTGCTACAAGGGCAGCTGAACTCGGTTGTAAGATAGCGAAAGCTCAGCTAACAAACAGCTTGATCGACGACCTCATATCTTATAATTGATGGCGAATGGAAGCGAATTCAGCGTTGTAAGCGAGCTATGAACATTGAACACCAATTCGCATATTCTTGAACCCTACATAAGAGAGAAATTGGATAATTCTTACGGCAGTGCACTTCGGTAATGTTAATGGCTCAATTCTACTGACAAAGAAAAACCAGGATGTAATGCGCTAAAGCTGAGAAAAACACGTCAGGAAGCGAGGGAAATGACTACTCTCAGTTGGTAAAGATAATCACAACATCTGATTTGCATGTCGTGGGAAGATGCCGAAGCAAGTGTGGAAAAATGTGCACATAAGCATAATTAAAGAAACTAGCTCGACTTAATGCTCCTATAACCACTTGGTCAAAGGAAGAGAAGATATGAAATTGCTGTCAGAGGTTATTTCAGGCAGTATAATAAAAGCCTAATGCCTTCTCAATCGGTACGAATTTGTACTACTCAAATGGCGCTAATTATGGATGAAGCACGAGTGTGCAGGCTAAAAGAATGCTCCAATCTCTCAGACCGCGTATCTCGCCTATTGAACATACTGAATACACAAACCTAATCCATGAATGTGACCTTTTCCCTCATCAAGGAGTATAAATCACGCAAGACTAATATTCAACTCTCAAAACTTTACAGTATTCGGGCTTATTCCATAGCTAAAATCAAAAATAGATACGACAAAGCACGACTCTACGCCGTTAATGATTCAACAGAACGAATAACACAAATGGGAACCAGAACTTGACATCAACTACCCTCTCGTAAGACTAAAAGAATTCCCAAATAAGCCTCGTGGACATAAAAATGTGTTGATTGCGCAGTAGGCACATATCAAGCGTATTGTGTGGGTAGTAAAAGGAAGGAATAAGGGTACGATTGAGTGCACGCGAATAGCAGATTGCTCGGCTCTGCTGAGCATGAAACTTTCCCTCCTTGCTCCCTTTTGATCAAAATAGCACACGCACACACATCCATCATCCCAGCTTTCTCTAGTGCTATTAGGGCATGGACGCCTTCATGCCAGATCTTCCCCAGCAATCAGAGGCTCCATTGTCAGAGAATCCCAGTGCATACGATAACTGGTACATGTGAGGGTCGAAACCAAAATGTTTCACTCCAACGACGGAATGGATCCTCATCGCTTTACGTGCCAGTTTGTCAGCGAAACTGCCGCAGAAAGAGACGTACACGCAATGCATTGCTAGCATGTTGTCATAAACATGACTATTCTGTTTGCGTCTATCGAAATTATTCTATTTATGGCTTGGTTGAGCTATTGCCTAAGACACTAGGAGAGACGAGAACCTACTTGTTACTGCTATTCGGCCGGGTGCTCACTTCACTTTACATTCTTTTTCGCACTCTGTCGGCGTACATGAGCGTATCGTGTTCGTCCCGGCTCTCAGGTTACGTCCAAGTAATTGCCGTTGACGCTGCCTACCTCAGCGATGGACTCGTCTTCGAGCATCACGCTCTTACTGCTATCGATGATACTTTGCTCTCGCTCTCGTCGCCTCACGTCCAGACCTTACTACTCACTGATTTAAAATCTCATTTGCCTCAGGATTTACTCACTCTCCGCATACGCACTCATCGGCGGAAGAGAACTTTACCGAGCGACTACGAAAAGGACAGATCTAGAGCTTAGGAGCAACCAAATTAACTTGAAACTTGACAAGATAGGCTGTATGAAAGTGAGGAAATGCATTAAGCGAAGCGTCAGCCTTGGACTTATGAGGATTAGACGGTGTGGCGATGAGATATCCGATGTGAACACTACAGCAGCCACACATGCATTAATCAATCCATCTTGTCAGCCTCAGCATGTGTTCCGACTCGAGGGCATCACTGATATAATCATGTCGAACTCTCAGCTACAGTGCTGGCCAAAACTATAGATCCACTATAAAAAACTGCCGTAGTTCATCTGCTTCTCAACGAATTGATCTGAGATTTGGTACAGTTGTGTGTTCAACAGGCATTCATCAGTGACCGGAGCGGATTCCGCTTTCGTTAGATTATTCAGGAAAAAAATTAAAAATTTCGAAAAAAGCAGGCTCGAAGGCTGGCCAAAACTATAGATCCACCTAAATTTTTTGTCTGCTAACGTGACTCTTAGCTTCCAAAATCTTTTGTGCATAAACCTAGTCGAAAGTCAAAGCAGTGGGTTTAGTTTAGCTGCGTCATACCTTTATAAGAAACTCTTATCTGCTTTTTTCCACTCAAAAACTGCTCTCATGCGTATTTTGTTCCCGAAAATGTGTTTTTGTAGAGGATCCCGCACTTTTTTGACTGGTTTGAAAGTGATAGGGCTCCATCTATCTTATAGATGCTTAGCAGCGTGAGCAGTAGAAAAAAATTCGGGTTTTCGTATCCAAAGCGCACCTGACACAGACATAACCGTAGGCCTGCGCTCGAATTTTTGCCTTCATGCTCTTTCTGCAACGTTGTCATGAGCGTGAACTGGAGTAGTTACATTGTTGGTATGTATGAGAGTCCGTGTGCAGTGGTTGCAGGTTTCTGCAGATCCTAGTATGCAAGCTAATTGAGGACTTCCTCCTGCAAAAAGTGATTTGCAACAAGCCTTGAAGTTATTTCTGCTTCTGACCATAATGCTCATGTGAATCACAAGACAACACATATTGCAGGGTGTATTCAATAGTTAGCAGCTAAAAAGTGGCAAAATTCAAAGAAGGTACCAGTTGGTAAGTACTTTGAGATTGCCGAACACACCGCAAGACTTATGCTTTGAAAAAGAATTAAAGTGCGACTTCGCAAGCAATTGTAACTATAGTTTACAAACTTCTTTTTAGGTGAATAATGCTAAATAATGCTTCTACATTATTTTGAGCTTATAAAAATAGCGGATACCAATTTTGAAGGCAAAAATTCGAGCGCAGGCCTACGGTTATGTCTGTGTCAGGTGCGCTTTGGATACGAAAACCCGAATTTTTTTCTACTGCTCACGCTGCTAAGCATCTATAAGATAGATGGAGCCCTACCACTTTCAAACCAGTCAAAAAAGTGCGGAACCCTCTACAAAAACACATTTTCGGGAACAAAATACGCATGAGAGCAGTTTTTGAGTGGAAAAAAGCAGATAAGAGTTTCTTATAAAGGTATGACGCAGCTAAACTAAACCCACTGCTTTGACTTTCGACTAGGTTTATG